CCAGTAACAAAATGTATAAATGTCATGGTGGGGATCACACGAAGTAAAGTAATTTTTATTTTTTACGGGGAGTTCATAAGATTGACATAAGATTGACTGATCGTTCGGTAGTTCTGTGGGGTTGTCTTCAAATTCACCAAAATCACCTGCCGAGATAGCAGTCTTGAGGATGGCATGATGTCTTGAACCGTTAAATTCAGACCATTCCAGATATTTCATACCTGACATCCTTTCAAGTCTGACCCTTCACTGGCCACCAATAACTATTTTTCAAGGTTTCTTAAGTGATACCTTAAGGTGTAATAATTAGTGTAATACGTCTGCTCCTTGAAAGGACATGTTTCCCATTGATTCCCCTTCATCGGATTCGAAGAAACAGAACAAACACATCCTTCAAGCCCTGATACCCTTTGGTAAACTAACATAACTATGGAAAATCACCATTTTTAATGGGAAAATCCACTATAAATGGTCATTTTCAATAGCTATGTTAAATTACCAGAGGGTATCGATAATTTTCCTTGGGAAGTCCAAACATGATAATCCAAGCCATGGAGGGGATCCAAAAAATGGCTTCAGAAACCTACATTAATTGATGTAGATATTCATCTATAGGATATCCCCATGATGAAAATTTATACATATATATATATAAGATATCCTACATATCTTAAGAATGATATCCTACATTGACATCTACATTAAGATGACAGATCATCACATATTAATACAATATATGTTGTTGAATGTAGCAATCCACAATCTTCCTCATTTTTCGAGTTAGCTCAAAACATGTAGATGGCTCAATTTCAGAAGGGGTCATGTGTTTGACTTTAATGTTGTGCCGCTGTCTAAGCAGATTTGGCCCAAAACATGGCTCCTAAATTTCTGGGCTGCAACAGGGATCAAACGAATCATGTGGGACTGAACTTGGCAATTGAACACATTGGGAAAAATTTGCGGGCTCGCTCAAGTGGAACGAGCTACCTCAGCAACACCGCGCTAGCTCAAACACATCGCTCTAGCTCGATGGCATCGAGCTGGCTCGATTGTTTTGACAAAAAAAAATCGAAACAATTGAGCCAGCTACGTCAAGTTGAGCTGGCGAACGAATGTGAAAGCTAAAAAACAAATACATAATATGTATTGGCCGGGATGATGACGGCATACCGAGCTGGCTCAAGGGCATGTAGCTGGCTCAATTTTTTATATTGTTTTCGCGTTTGTTTTTTTTCGTTCAAAAAAATTGAGCCAGCTACGAGGCGCTGAGCCAGCAACGAGGGAATGGTGAATCTGTACTGTACGGGATCGATGGATTTTCCGATGCAGCCTTTGCAGTTGCAACAAATCTATTGATGAATTCTGGCACCATATGAGATAAAATAGAAGACTGGCAGTCTATACATATGTATATACATATATAACATTATATAACCCCAACCGTATATAATTATGGTCAATCTGAGGCAACACCAGTTTTCTTAGGGAAGACGCGTACCCTTGAGCTGGAGGGAGATTGGGAAAAGATGGGAAAAGAAACTTTCGAAGTTGGGCCCCCCATGGGTTATCCCCATGATATCCCCATCGCCTGAAGCGCCAAGAAGGATCGATAGGGCCGACGCCCCGAACGGCCCGGAGACCTGACACATCTGACGTACGCGGCCGGCGAAGCATCAAAGGCACCGAAATTCCAACCTTATCAAAATATAGTATTTAAATGGGAAGGATTATCCCATAATATTATGGTTAATATATGGTTATTATATGGTTAATGATGGTTGATCATAATATCTGGTTGACCTAGCCCTCTGAAAAATGATGGAGTGAAAGTCAGTTGGGATGATGACATTCTCAATATATGGAAAGTCATAAACAGGTCATAAAACATGTTCCAAACCACAAACCAGACTAGTATCTAAACAGTATGGCTGTATATAGTTGTACAGAATATAATTAATTATAGTATTATAACATATTACAACTAATATATATATATACTAGTGACAAGTAATGCTATCGAAACAGTATAGCTGTAAAGATGAATTATATAGTACATCAGTATATCACATTATATAACGTTTATACTAACTAGTGTATAATGAACGGATCCAATTGTAAGTGATGACAAATTTCCATCATCTTCCATCATCCGGACAGAAATTGCAGGCACCTTGGCTCGAGAATCGCACGCCTGGCCGGTGCTCATTGTGGGATGATCATTTCGTGCGGCTTGAGTACAACGGCTTCGCAAAGGATCTCACTTACTTTTTAGTCCCATATGCTCCATGTATGGAATATTTACCAACATTTACCCCATAAATCACCCAGTTTTGTAGGTAAATATACTATACATGGAGCATATGGGAGTTACTAAAATTTAGTAGCTCTTGTTGGACAGGTTTTTCCGGTGGAAAACTCCACGGTTAGGAATGAGACTCACGAGCTGTCTTGGATATCTTCCCCCTCGTGGAAACGGACAAACTCATCCAAGATATCCAAATGCATTCACCTCTACGGACCTCTTAACTTGTTATACCCATAGGATCCATGTATGCTATATATGGTAACATGGATCCCATCAATATGCCCCAGTCATGTTAGCATATATACCAGCACCATGGATCCGTCATGGGATACAGCAAATCCCTTGCGGCCACAAGATTGGTGAAATCTGGGATACGTACGTACGATCCCACAGGTAGCTTCCCAGAAGTTCAAAGCACATGGGCAATGACATGCCATAAATTAGCTAGGTGTAGTTCTATAAAATGTTATTAAGTCACTTTTTGTAGTTTGGCCCCAATTTTCCATGTACTATATATATATATGTGTGTATTGTTCAATTTACAATACGTATATATATATATATATGTACACATACATATGTACACAAATAATCATAATTATATATATATGGTCCCGAGTCAAAATTGTGTATGGAACGTTCCGCGGTGTTCCGGACGTATGGAACGAAGGGGCGTCGTAACTGGTCTTGTTCCGGACCTTTGGAGTGTGATGAAATATAGGCTATACATAAATAAATATATATATATATACATTATATGTAACATATATCATATACATCTCAAGGATATGCACGTCGAAGCTACTCCTCATCTGCACGACATCCTTGTTGTACACCTGTTCAACGCAGGTTTGCCTTGCATGGCTAGTGCTCGTGCACTAGATACGACACGACCGGTAGCCAGCGTCACCCACTGGCTACCATGTGAAGCTGTCGACTCAGCTTCAGACCTGACACGCAGGTCCCATCTCCTACTCTTAAAACTCAGAGGTCCCTATGGGGTAGATTGTGTCCCTGCATAGCAAGACTCTACCCTCCCATAACCCACGCGCAAAGGATGGCTTACGAGCAGTCTATGTGAGAACCTGCCATGTGTTCACCAGTGGGTCAGGGGTGGTGCATGGGTGGTCCAGGTCTGGAACGGGTATGGAACGGTATGGAACGGGGTCTGGAACGAAACGGCCCACTCCAGCACAGCACTGCCATACATCTTTATCAAAATTCGCAGTTTGGAGCGAGAATAGCGCAGCAAGCAATTCTTAGACTGCCAGCTGGCAGCAGCCAAGCGCATCTCTACAATCAAACACCACAGCTGTGCCACAGCCTGCAGCAACTTTAAGTGGTGCAAGCACAAACCTGCCACAGGTTGAGAGGGAGGGAGGGTTACAAGCAATCCATTCTTAGACTGCCAGCTGGCAGCAGCCAAGCACATCCCTACCATCACACAACAAAGTAGGTAGCAGCTGTAAGTGCCGCAGGCACAGACTTGCCAACACAATCACAGGGCTTGGGCATAGTAAACGTATTCTTGCATGTATGCACTCATGTATGTACGTGCGCTCATATATGTGCGTACAAACGTAAAATCAGATTGCACATAATCAAATAATATATATATATTGATATATATATATATAAATAATTATATATAATTATATATATAATAACGTATGGATCAGAGGTATGGAACAGAGGTATGGAACAGAGGTATGGAACGGGTCCTTCAAGGAGGTATGGAACGGGGGTATGGAACGGGGGTATGGAACGGGTGTGGTCCCGGAGCTTGTTCCGGACCTCCTATTTTGACTTGCCCCCATATATATCTGCTATGTATATATACTTGAAGGTCCACACCGTTTAGTAAATGGATAGCACAGATATGGCATTTACTATTTGTGCTAAGACTGGTTATAAGTATGGTTATATCCTGGCTATTTGAGTTATAAGTGATCTATGTGGTATATATGATTTGACCAACTTACTAACTGGTGCTGTTCAAATAGTATGTTGTGTATTTGATTAGCTGAGTTACGAATCTAGATACCGGGGTTATTAAGTTTTAAACTCTAAGTCGACTAACTGAGTTAGCCCACTTATGAGATGTTTTTATTTGTTTTTAATGATATATATATATAACCTCAGATTATACAACAAGAACCCCATTTCCAGCGTATGAACACAACCATTTTTTTTAAAACCATCTATCAACTTGCCAAAGCCTCGGCAAGGGAGGCAAATCAGGTGACCGGTCGCCAGCTTCTACAGCAGAGGTGCCATCCCCCCATCCGGCTGCGCCAGGGGTTTGGAGGCTGAGGGATTTCTTAATGAATGGGTTTTGTAAAGGTGTGCCATGGATGTAGTTTTTTTTTTCATGCATGGTTGTTCATACATAGTCTCGGTGTCAGGGCAATTTGCTCGACGCCAGGGACGGAAAAATAAAATAATATATATATATATATACATGCATGTTTCATGACACGCCGAAATCATGATAATATATATTAAATGAATATATTTGCTGATCGTTTATATAACTGCCATCCAGTCCGTTTTCACGCATGCGTCATGTTTGAATTGTTTGGATTCATGATATACTTGAAATTTAACAACACATGTATATATATATATTTATAAATATATATTTATATATTTTTCCAGCATCAAGTAGCCGCAAGCGTGAAGGGAAATCTCACCCATGGCGATCCCGGAAGAAGTGGTGCAGAAAGTGAAGGCCATCATCTCCGAGGCAGAGGAAGGTGAGCGCTTCGTGAAGAGCGTTCATGCCGCCTTGAAGGAGTTGGAGGCAAGTGGCCACTTGTACAAGCTGCAGATCCACAACCGACATGTTGGATGCCACCCCCAGAACAGGGATGGAAGTGGTGTCAACGGTGTGGACGTCCACCAGCTCCTGGACGACATAGTGACAGCAGGATTCGTTCCTGAACGGGTGAGTGCCATTGCCGTTGAAGTCTCCGACAATGCAGAGCTGGTGTTTAACCAAACACTGGTGTCACAACATGGCGGCCAGCTTGGCAGCATGGACGCCTCTCAGCTCAAGGTGTTGAGCTTGGCTGGCAGCCACACGAACTTCGTGATGCGGCTCTTTGACCAGGAGGTGGCGCATGAGAATGAGAAAGTCAGCGCCAATGGTAAGCTCAGCAAGGAGATGCTGTCCCGGCACGACATGGCATTCCACGAGGCGGTGGTTCATGGGTACCAGTGGCGTGTATTGTCGAAGCACGTGACGCAGCAGTTGCCAGAACTCTTGACGATGGTCCAGAGGACTGGCAACGCAACACTGGCACGTGGAGAGCATGAGCTTCAGCTTCTGAGAAGACTTCATGGAATCTGGGTTTCTCAGTCGCAGACGGTAGGACTGCACGTGAGCTATGAGAAGGTGAAGCGAATTGCATCGCCAGGCATTTCATCACCTTTGATGAAAACTTTGCCCCATTTGTTCACCTTCGCCCTCAAGGCTTCAGGTGGGATTACTCCATGGTTGTTGCAGGAGACAGAGGCTTTCGTGAGGGCCCATGCCAGCAGCACGAAGACCTTGGGGGCTGAACTCTGGCAAGCCTTGGGACAGGATGTCAAGGGGCAGACTCAGTTCTTGCGTTTCCGGCATGGAATGGTCACTCGACAACATATGTGTATATGCTATATTATTGCCTGCACATATATAAATAAACTATATATATATATATAAATTATAGTCGATATATATATATATATATATGTATTATGTAATATATACATGTTATAAATATATATATATATAATTTTATATGAATCACGTATATATTGACCATGTGCTTTGTCCCTGTATTGTACAAGTAGCTCCAAGTATATCACCACAGGTGAAGATGGCCTATGTGAAGATGGCCTATGTGAAGGACAAGATCACATTGGCTGACATCAAGAAGGCTCTGCATAACAAGGACTTCAAAGGCAAGGTCAGCACAGCTGAGAGCATCATGAACAAGTGGCGTTCACTCCTCAATGAAATCGGAGCGGACAAGAACAAGTCCAACCTGCTCTTTGCATGCAGCATGGCAGACATGGCCCTGACTGCCCATACGTTGGACATCAAGCTGCCTGGAGAACGGCAGTATGACAAACCAGAAGGCTTGGCACATGATTTCTGCCTGTGCCTTCGGGGAATGGGATATGCAGTGGCTGATCCATGGGCAGACTGTGAAGAGCCTGAGCCTGCTTCTTCCAGTCAAGGCAGTGCACAGCCCTTCGACCCGAAATTGCTGATGCGGGAAGTCAATGATGCTGGCCAGGTGACGAACCAGGCTTCAGTTTTGAGCAGTGCAGGGTATGAGATTGGATGCCATGTGAAACGCAAGGCCGATGGCACTGAAGGCATCATCGAAAGCGTCGAGAGCAACGGCATGGTCAGGATCAAGGTGGAGGGTGAAAGCAGGCTTGCCAAGCTGAAGATGTCAGCAATTTTGAATGGCGAGTGGGTCAAGTTCACTCCGAGCGCCGAGCCAGTGGTGATGGAAACTTTGGCTCAACACTTCATGGCACGTCAGGAGTCATGGAAGAGCCAACTGGCCATTGCCAAGTTGACCATGGCATTGGATGCCTTGGCCAAGAAGAATGACCAGGTGATCATGGATAAGTTGAAGTTGCAGTTGCGCCCCCAGAAGGCCATCATGGTGACGACCAAGTTTGCCAAGAACAAGCTGGTGTTCGTCCCATTGAGCACTGCCATCAAACCGAAGACACATGGTCATTGAACATGTATATATATATATATGTGTGTTTTATAGATTTTGTTCATGAACCATGGAGTATATCATAATATATATCTATTTAATCATTCATTCTTGAACCATGGAGTATATATCATGTTATATGATGTATATATAGATATTATATCAAGATTTCATGGGATATCATTGCATCAACATCACATGATGTCAGCGACCACCATGTACACCGTGCGCCATGTCAAGGAAAGACAAGGATGCAGACATAGTGGCCAGCGTTGCAGGGATGGACTTCACCTTGACTCCTTCCACGGTGATTCCGACAGATGAGAGGACGGGATGCCTGGCATGTTTCTTCTTGGTGGCCTGCACCCAAGTGGCTGATGAAGCCAACATGGAGATCACTTGGCACAAGGACGGCGATGTCAAGGTGCCATTGCTGAGAAATTCGAAGGCCCTGAGCCCAGATGACAAGCTCCTGCGCCATGTGCCGAAGAAGCAGGTAGCGTCAGAGGCACTGGCATTTTCTCCGGCCAAGCGCCGTCGTGTGAAGAGCTAGGATTCAGATATCTCAGCCAGAGGGGTGAATAAATGTGCACAGCTGCTACAATCATGTTGCAGCATGTAGCTGCCATGGTCCCATGATTATATATATTATATTGTATGCATGTGCAATCTATATAATATCTTGCTATATTCATGTCATTCATGGTCATGTTGTACGTCTCAATGCATGACCTCATGTATATATATATATGATATAATTTATATATATGTATATATCATGTCATGATAATGAAACTTATACTGCAGGTATATTTGCTCTCAAGGATTGATCAGCCATGGACTTCACGCTGGAGACCCATCTCGTGGTCAAGTACGGTGACCAGACCTGGGCACCGACACAGGTCACGGTTGACGATGTGATATACTTCCAGTTCGGTAAATGGGGCCGTGGTTTCGTGAAGTGGGTGACAGGAAAATCACTTGACCTGAGAAAGGACAAAACCGCAGGCAGTGCAGACTGCCGTTTCCTGGACCAGCTCATCGCGAGGAGGCAGACTGCCTGTGATGATGCCCTCGATGCCGCCCTTCATCATGATGATGATGAAAGCAGCCAGGTGAAGAAGCGCAGATGGAGGGCAAAATCCAGCGATGATCACTTGGTGCCCAAGGTGCTCAATATGAGCCTGCCACCCGTTCCTGAGGAGGACCTACCAGAGAAGCTGGTGCGAATCCTCTTTGATGGGGCGGGCACAGCCAGCATCTACATGGAGATGCACCAAGACATCCTCTATCACCTGAAGAAGGGGATCCAGCACTCGTCCAAGAGTGAGCGTAGGAAGAAGGAATGAAGGCAACTGAGCAAAAGATCCATGGGTATAAAAAAATGTCCACGCAGTCTTGCACTATATATAAATATATTACATGTATAATGTATATAAATATATTACATGTATAATATATATATATATATGTATATTTATCCTTTTTTAATATAATAATAAAACACGGTTTTAGAAACATATATATTATTTATATATCTTTTGACATGGCACTTCCCCTCAAGATGACAATATATATATGTTTAACAACCTATATATCATGTACATGTTTGACTGTAAGTCAATTTAGTGGGAGGATCAACAAAGTCTGGACGTACCTTCTTTCTTTCGTTGTCAAATTCAGATTCATCCGGCCGCTATATCCTTTTCAGGGCTCACGGAAATGAGTCTTATGACATGGACCGTTGGATGCCCATGGACATAATCTCAACGATACACATGGACAAACACATAATGTCATGGCATACTTGACTATAGGCACTAATGACAAACACATCATTTCATGGCACCAACGAAATACACGTCTAAAATAGATCACCTTTTGGTTTCATAGTTTCACCTGTCTCACCGCGTCACTCTGCGCTGAAGCCATGACGCTTTTGAAGTTTACCATGGCCGAAGCCGAGGACTTCTTTCTTAACGGGTGTGTGCTTGGGCACGGTGATCAACAATCATTAGTTTAAAGTGCATGACCCATTGAACTGTCAAGTGCCTTGGACTAATTTGTATGATTTGGAAGGTCCCCATATACATTAGGACACCTCTTTTTGATAGCGTTTGCCAGGACGATGAAGCTGCAGCTTTCAATGGTATCCTGGAATATGGCATGCAAGAGGACTCCATGGGCTTGGATGGATGGGTGCCAATCAAAATGAGCCTCATGATTTGAAATGTCATGATTATAATATGACATATTTTCACATATATATATAATATCTATATATATATTGTTTATATCATTATATATATATTCAACAAAATTGCATGCATGGCATCATATTCGTCAGGATACGCAGACAACGCACACCTGGGACAACATGGACGGGAAGCTCAGCTACCAGCGTCAGAAGGCATGGAGGATCCAACAAGGCTGGGCCCTCATGCAATACTTATATAGTCTATATAAGACAACTGTTAAATAAGAAAATATTAATAAATTAATATGTACTATATGTATGTATATGCCAAAGTGATGTGATTTACATATTATATATATATGTGATTCTTTGCGTAAACATTTGGAACGGGTCAAAGTGTCTCTGATTGATCTCGAACATGCCGCCAGCTGACCTCATGAACACCGTCTGGCGCAACTTGGACAAGACGGATCGCAACGTTCCGCCAACTGACGGTCAGATTCTGAGTGGACATTGCTGATGACATATGTAGCGTAATAATATTCTATACACATTCACATGTCATGCTCACCGACAGGCTGGGAGTACCTCAGCGAGAAGACGAATGAGTGGCAGAAGTCGAGCTTGAAGGCTCACTCCCTATAGAAGCCATGCCAGATAGTAACTTTCATCACTGCGTTTCGATGCAGGTGGAGGTGCTGAAGGAGGTCGACAAGCGACCAATGGACGACGAAGAGGTGCAGGCCACGAAGCGCCAGAAGGCACGTGTCATGTCAATGACCATGCATGCATGTATTCATGAGGTTTCTTGTAGTTCATGACCATGTATAGTTGTCTTATAGTGCATGATATATATATATATAATTTGTTGAATGAAGTATATAATGTATATATATTATGTTTGTATCTCTTCATGCAGGTACCGGAGCCTGACAACCCACCACGCGGTGGCAAGATCCCCAAGAAGCTGATGCCAACGAACGACCCGAACCGCTACAGGAAGGCGCCATCACACTTTGAACATAGTAATTCAAAGGTTCACAGTCTGGTGGTCGTGGCAGGTGAAGTCAAGCGGCTCCAGTGGATCGAAGCTGTCACCCAAGGACATGAGCTGATGATTCACCAAAAATCACAATTTGTTTCTCATTAAAAGTTTTTTTGCAGGAGCCAAGCTATCCTCCCCCTTGTGACCGCTGGAGGATCAACCAGCCTCCAAAGGCACATCATGATGTTCATGTGTGTCCTTTATAGTGCTCAGATCTTTCCCAATATATCGTCTGTCAGGCTGTGCCGTTGGACGACCCTGGACGTTCGAAACCGAAGCCTCGTGGGGTATTGGTGCTTCCACCGGGGAAGGCTCCATCATACATGATCAGAGTTGTGCTGCCACATGGACTGTTGTGATCAATGTATAGTACTGCCACAGGCAAAAACTGGAGTTCAAGCTGGCGATACAGAAGTTGAAGCTGGCAGTACAGAAGTTCAAGCTGGCAATGAGGCCAGGGAGACAGTCGGCATCCTCATTATTTATTTGATTTCACTATATATTTGTTGCAGGTACCGCCGGTGGCTCGTCCTTTACCTCCACCGCCTTCACCGCCTGCTCGTGCAGAGCCCTTGCCCCCGCCTCCATTGCCACCACCACAACAGGCAAGACACCACGTTCAGAATCATTCTCAGTCCGATCATGCATTACGTGACTCTGGCAGGAGATGATGCCTGGTATCGCAATGATGCATCCTCACATGATGGTGCACCAGCAGATGATGCAGGAGGGACATGTTATATATATACACATTTCTAGAATGTATTTCATGTATTGGTATGCAATGCCTGCAGGCCCAAGCGATGATGACCCCTGCTCTGGGTCCTCATGTTGGAACCTCAATGCGTTGACATGTCATTCAACAGAAGGATCTCATGTCAGTACCATATTCGAAGTCACCTGCATTCATGAACCCAGCTGGTGTGTGTACCCTATAGGCCGGTGGGATGATGCAGAACCTGCCAGCTGCGAACTCAGATCTTGAGCAAAGCTTTTATATACATTAAGTGTTAAATCATTTAAATTATGATATATATATATATATATTATATATATGTAATATATATATACATATATTATTTATATATATATATGTACAAATGTATATATATTACATACATGGAGCATGACTTGAAGGAATCGATAATGAAATCATAAAGATACATGTCACTCTGACCATGAGGTGGTAGCGATGTCACGGCAGGGATGGGCTGGAATCCCTGCATGTACACAACTCAGTTGCACCATGAGTGCTGCATGTATCATTCCAGATGCCATTGCCACTGAGGCCTGGCCAAGGTCCGACCAGCCAAGTCGGGGCAAGGCATGTATGTGATGGATCACTTTGTCAGTTCCAGCGGCGTCTGGCATGAGTCGGAACCTCAGTGAAGTTCAGTTGTTGTCTGGTTGGGGTGACTGGCAAGATCCACCGATGTGACTCAGGCCAGGCATGGGCCGCAACCGAGCCCGTCGTCCAGGCAGCAGGGCAGCAGGTGGCAACTTGGAGGTGGGGATCAGGTCATGTTTACCCTTATGGGCACCTTCTACATGTGTCCAACGATATCTTGACACATGTTCAGGAGATGCGCTGGCGCTCTGTGATGAACCTGAGCGAGGTGCTGGTGATGAGGGCAGGGCAGGCGGATGTTGCTGCAGATGAGGTGCCAACAGATAGCCCGGAAGAGGCCGAAGACTAGATATGACATGTAGAAGATGTCGTTCCGGGCGCATTCATACTCAAAGGAGTGGTCGGGTTTGATAAAAGTGAAAAATATTGAAAACAATATTTTTATCAATCTATAAAAAAAACACTATAGAATACAATTTTTTTTATAGATTGATAAAAAAAATGTTTATCACTTTGCAAAAAAATATAGATTGATAAAAAAAATGTTATATAACAAAATTTTTATCAATCTATAAAAAAAATGGTAATCTACAAACATTTTTTTATAGATTGATAAAAATTTTGTGTTGCACAAACGATGTCAAACCCAGGCCAAACCTCGATACAGGAAACTCACAACAGCTTCGATGGGTTGCTGGGAAAATGCGGAGCTTGGGCAAGCCAGACGACATGGGTGGTGGCAGTGGTTCTCCAAGAGGTACTTTGTTGTAGTTGGGGCTGTGGATTCAAGAGTTTTAACATATTGGGAGCTTTGGAAACAAAAACATTTAATATTTGTGTGGATTGGGATTAGCTATGGTACCCCTGAAATAATTTCAACCATGGTGGTGTACGTTTGGTGCATGCCCTTTTTCATCCATGTGGGACACAGGTCAGTGATGTCTTTTTGGGATCCAAAAATAAGAAATGATGATTGTTCCCTCCATTTCATTTGGGGTACAAGGCAATGCAGTCTCGTTGGAACCCAAGAGTGAAATGATATGGTTGCTTCTTTGTCCAACCCATTTGATGTAGCTCAATGCTGTCTCGTTGGAATCCGAACATGAAATTGTAATTCCCTCAACTTAATACATATAGTATACAATTGGTTTCTTTCCCTCTGCCCATTTGGAGTGCGATTCAACAATGCTGCTAATAGATTCCAAACAAGGATACATTGACTTATATATACTTTGAGAAACCACATATGGTTCATATATGATTCTTCCTTTATTTGATGTCTAGTGGGAACATGTCTGAACCATAAGTGATATACAACTTATATATATGTATATAATAAACATATATATATATATATATGCTCACCGACAGGGCATCCCCTTGCTCGTTGGTAGGGCAATTGTATATATATTTTGAAGCTCATGAATTATTATGTATATATATATGTCTTGCATGTGATTTCAACCACATAAACTTGCATGAAAGACCCTTGTAACTTGCACATGCGATCATACCAGTGTTGCATGGACACCCATGCAATGCAACCTCCTGCCGACGCCAAGGAATGTCCGACATCTTGGACAGAACGTGTGAGAGCTGCTGAGGCTAAAGAGCCACCCACTGTGGATGAGTCGTTGCATGAACCTTATATATATACAAATATACAAAAACTATATCGTACATAGACTATACAAATACATTTCAATTTCAGTACGGGAATGCAACTTTGGCACAATTCTCCATGAGTTTCTCACTCGGACATATATATGTATGTATATTGTCTGGGCGCAAGGTGAAGGCAGATTGTCTTCAACATATTTTTCTTGCAGCAGCTTGAAAATATGTGAGCCGGTCCTCGATGCTCTTGTCCAAGGATTTGAGCTATCATTGGACACACGAGGCACATATAACATAGATGTATTCAATTTATCCTTCATGTATACATGTCCATCATGCATGATATATATATATATATATATATGCATGTTAGCACGCAGCAATCTGAACACCAAAAGATTCGAAACGTGGAGTACTGAGCTAGTCATGGCTATCTCCAAATCGGCGCTTGATCAAGATCTCCAGTTTGAGGGCCAGAAAGTGACCTTCATGCAATTCGCCTTCTTGAAGCGCCTGAGCCACGTGCCTGGGAAGGGGCACTTTCATAGCCTCTGGGGTGGACATTGGCAGAAGGTCATCAACCACGAGGACATATTCCTCAACGTCAGTGGCTATGGTGGTGCCTTCAAGTATATCTTCTACCAGACAGTGGAGGCACATGGCATGAAGATGAATATATACCTCCACTGCCATGGGAAGTACTACCCAGTGGGGATCATCATCCACACTGGCAATCCAACAGTTGTGGTCCAGCACAACGTGTATGCTCACCCTGAGCTGCCAGTGAGGGCAATCGAGTGGACCTATGCTGCCACCGGGAACTACTTGTTCAGCAAGTTCTTCTGGAAGGATGATGCTAGACTTGTTCACTTTGTGATATTTTTCTACATATATACATGTATACATATATACATATATACAGATATACATATATATATACATATGTATATACATATATATATACACATATATATATATATATATACATAATTATATACATGTCTCAATGCTATATATATATATATACACATATATGTTTTCATATGTTTATATATATATGGCACACAATATGGCTGGCCCAAACTGTCATGTTTGTTCAATGCTATATATGGCAGTACATCGTACAACAGATGTATATAATATATGGTCATTGATATATATATATATATACATATTACAAGCATATATCCTTTTGTTGTCATGCCAGCCCACATCAAGGAACGCGTCTCCTGGGGTGCTGCCAAAAGAGAGCTCCTTGCACACATGTGCAAATGGGACATGGCATTTCCAAGGGTCACCCAAGTGATTGATATGGGAGTGACCTCAGACCAGCAGAGGGTCTGGAAGGCTGAGAGGCTGAGTGATGATCAGAGCGCCCAGCGAGCCATTGAGAGCCACACGGAGAACACATGCCCCTGGGAGACTGAGAGTGGGACGACGTTCGAGGCCGAGTCCGTGGGTGAGAGCTCATGCACGACTGAGGCGCTGCCGAACACTAGCCCACCAAAGAAGCGTCGTGTCCGGTAGAACACTACTGACGGACAGATCCAAGATTCCATTCCTGACATGGATTGGTGTTTTTGAATTTCCAATAGGAGATTGAGAGTTCAAGCGTGGCAAGCAAATCAAAACAGTTGGGTTTGGGGCAGTGACCACATCATGCACGATCTCATGTCATGTCTTGAGATGATGTACAACATATATATATATATATCAAACTAATACTATATATATATATCATAAATATATGTGTATATATATATATATTAAAGACCAAATCTAATATATATATATATATATATTTATTTACTATATACATTGTTTTCATATATGCATGTTTGTTTACTATCTCATGGCAGTTTCATTGCATGTTGCTGAGTTGTTTCATTTTATGACCTCATGGCATTTCATGACATTATATAACCATATCTTATATATACATGCATGGTTAAAATATACATTTATGTATCTCAAATATAATCTACATTATATATGACATACCGAGGGCATATCGTCAATCACAGCTCATGTAGATATAGGGATGGCGATGCTGGCACAAGAGCTGTCAGTTCTGAAGGGTTTGGTCGATGCTGCCCCAAGCAGCTCTGTTCGAGACCAGCTCTTGGGAAGCCATGCCGAGTCGATCAAGGCGCAGATCTTGAACAAGCCAGTGACTGAGGAGGAGGTGAAGTCACTGACTGCGGTGATCCAGGGAATGCCGTTCAGTGAAGTTCAGGCGTCAGAGTTGCTGGTGGCTCTCAGCACATCATATCTGAGAGCTAACAAAGCGGCAAGTGCTTCTGGAAAGAGCCAAGTGATGGTGGATCTGGTCCCTTACCTGACGGGCAAGGAGTGGGACATGATCCACGATGGTGCACTTGGCTTGAAGGTGAAGCTCAGGAAGCTGTCTGATGTCCTGATGAAGCTTGGCTGCCTCTACCCAGGCGAGCCGAGCAAGGGCCATGTGGTGTCACTGCTGAAGCAGTGCGGACACGACGAGCTCAGTGACCCCCAGACCTTCAACTTGAACCTGAAGCTGTTCAAGAACTACATCACAGAAGCCAGAAAGAAGGCCAAACTGGAGGACTGTGGTCGGGTGCACATAGATGTGTACAACGGCAACCCCAAGGACCTGCCGAAGGACATCTACCAAAAGGCCTATGCACATGAAGGGCCATGTGGACGACAAGACAGCCTGAAGGCAAATACTGTCGGCCCCTTGCGTGGCAGCCACAAAGACATGAGGCCTCAGGCCATGAGCAGTGCAGCCAACAGCACGACCTGTCAGATGTCGCAGCTGGCAAGCTTCGCATCGATGATGGCATCCTTCGTGCGGGGAGATGGCCAGCATGCAAATCAGCAGACAGCTGCTGTGCAAGCTCCTGTGCATGTGCCTGCACCTGCGCCAGCGGTTCAGGCGCCAGCACAGCCATCTGTGAGCACAACTGCTGTGGTGGCAGCTGAGCAACAGGCCAATGAGACGGTGAATGTGCCACCGCCGATCTCACCAGCCAAGCAGGCCAAGGCCATGGCAGCTGCCTGGGGCCAAGATCCACTTGAAGAAGATGATGATCTTCCTCATCGTGGACGTGGCCGTGGACGTGGCCGTGGACGAAGAAGACGTGGAGGACGTGGCAGTGGCCGCGGGCGTGGCCGTGGTCGTGGGGCCATGAAGAAGCCTGCAGCCATGAAGAGGCCGGCTGCCAACACGGCCGAACATGGACCCAAGGTCATCAAAAGACCATCCATGCACAGTGGCACCAGAAGCCGTGGCAAGGAGATCCCAGGATTGAGTTGGGACCAAAGACTGAAGGAGCGTCCCAATGGATGTTCTGGCTGCAGATGGACTCCAGGCTGCTGCCCGAGTTGCTGGAGGAAAGGATGATGATCGTCGTGAGCGTCGCTGATGGTGGTAAAAAAAAAGTTGGAGTGTGCGCTTGTCTTATATATGTCAGCTTCATGTAGGATATATATATTAGATTAAATAACATTATATATATAATATCATATATAATATCAGATATGTATATATAATATTTAATGTATACATTTACTATGTGTTATATATATATATTATATATATATTATGATAAATCTATTTTATATGTTTATATTATATACATTGCTTTATGTACATATCATCAACTCCATGCATAAACTTTGAAGTAAGCCTTCGGCCGGGGTTCACTTTCTTTTTCATGGCATGGAATGTGTCATATGGTTTGGCAGTCATATAGCATGGCATGGTTGCAGCATCGTATACTCAAAAAATAAAAAAAGGTTTCCTCTTTTGTTTCACCCCAATGCCTCATACAGTCAACTTGGTTGAGTCCAAGATCTTATCATTATAGGTTTGTCTTCATCAAATTATGTTATATATAATGAAACCAACATGAATTATAGTTAAATTATCGTTGTCTATGACACAATAACAAGTCCATTCTGGTCACAATACATCAGTCTTTTCACTTTTCACAGCCTTTGTGAAAACATGGCCTCGCTAGCTGATCTGGGTCGATCTTCATATGTTTCTCAGCGTGGGCTGGCAGATACTTTGAAGAAGCTGCAGGAAGCTGGGAAACTGGCTGAGGATGAGCCCACGTCAAGGGCTTCCATCAAGCGGGCCAGGGAGCTTGAGCTGTCACAGATGAGCACCAGGTTCGGACCCATCCTTCTTGAGAAGACTTTGACTGGGGACACGAAGGGGGACACGAAGGAAACTTATTCGGTCTCCATGCTCAACCCCGTAAGTTTGTGGGCATATCTGGTTGAAAACTGTGATGGTCTCAAGCCCGTTTTGGACGAGGCTTTTTCAAAGCATAGGCCTGAGTTGAACAAGAGATGGGACTTGATAGTGTACTGTGACGAACTTGTCTTGGGCAACGCATTGAGACACCAGAACAACAGGAAACTTCAGGTGTTCTATTTCTCATGGAAACAGCTAGGGGCTACAGCATTGAGCAAGGAAAAGTGTTGGTTCCCACTGGCAGTCATCAGATCTACAGTGGTAGCTTCGCTCGGTGGGGTCACCAATGTTTGGCCTCAGCTCTTGGATGCTCAGTATATTATATTGCTGCAAGTGTTTTTGTTCACCCAAATATATATATATATATTATGTATTTATGTTATAAACATGATAATATTTAAACTATATAACATGTACAATATATATATATATATTATGTTGTGCCAACACGATCACGCATATTATTTATAATACCATGCCAGCTATTATAATCATATATCATGTATATACAGTGGCAACTTATATATTATATCTGTCATGACAGCCCAGGACACCTTCTTTGGTCAGCACAGCTTCGAGCATGGGATTATGATCAGCTACCGCGGTGAAGCCTTCTTGTTTTTCTCACAGCTCAGCGTCTTGATTGCTGATGAGGTTGCAATCAAGCAGAGCGTTGAATCCAAGGGGGCGGCTGGCAAGCTCTTTTGCAGTCGCTGTTCGAACGTGATCAGCAAGTACTCATGGGACAATGCTGTGGACACCACGGGTCTTGTGCATGGGGCATGCACTGATGTTTCTCAGTTCAGGCTGCACACCAACGAATCTGTGCAGAAGGTCGTCAAGTACTTGGAGGAGCAGCATGGGAAATTGACAAGTGTGCAGTTCGCACAGCTCGAGACCCAGTTGGGCTACAACTGGAAACCTTCTGGCCTCCTGCGCAACCCAACTTATGGCCTGGTGATTCCTGAAAGCATCATGTTCGATTGGTTCCACGTCTTTCTGGTGCATGGGATTGCCAATCGTGAGTTCGCTTTACTGTGGCATGCTCTCAAACGGGTTGGGCTTTCAACCCGGCTGGAAAAATTTCTGGAATCATTTGAGTGGCCCAAGCAGTTTCAGGGCTCCAGGCCAAACAAGATCTTTGGGAAACGGGACACATCAGTGGAGCCACTGAAGTGCTCGGCCAGTGAGCTGCTCAGTGCATATGGGATCATCAGAGTCTTCATCGTGCAGTTTGTCTGGGAAGATCATCCGTCTGTGCGCCCATCATGCCAGACATCTCTCAGACTGTGTGAAGTTCTCGATCATCTAACTACACTGAATCGCGGCGGGTCTTGTTCATGGACTGAACTCCATGAAGCCATCAAAGGCTATCTGGATAGCTTCTTGGCACTCCACGGGGACGAGTATTGGGTCCCAAAATGTCATATGTCTCTTCATCTTGGTGAGTTCCTCCGGCGTCATGGGACGTTGTTATCGTGCTTTGCCCATGAACGCAAGCACCGCCTCGTCAAGAGATTTGGCAACCCGGTCAACAACTTCACTCAGAGCTTTGAGAAATCTATCCTCAGCGACATCATTCATGTTCAGGTACGTGAGCTGTGCGAAGAAGCTGTGGTTCTGGGCTTGTCTCTCTTCAAGGAGAAGAAGGTTGCCAAAGGCAAGATGGATTGGCTCTTCGAGTTCTTGGGAAGTTCTGAATGCTTCACATCCATTCGTGCTCAAGGCCCTGGAGGCCATGTCGTGCAGAAGGATGATGTTGTGGAGTTTCTCGACAGTGATGGATCATCTTCAGTGGGTCGGGTGTTGTACCACGTGAGACATGGATCCACGTTTTTGACTGTGCTTTGTCCCTGGAACCGGGTGCATGGCATCATGTTCAAAGTTAAACATGATCTAGCTGTGATCCTTTTGAGTTCTGTTGTCCAATGTTGTATGTACAGCTTGAAAAATGACGATGCTATGGTAGTCCGACGGTGAAAAAAGGTCCGTTCAAGTAGGTTGCTGCTGCTGCTCACCCAAGATGTCCACTTTTGTTGGTTCATGTTATCCATAAATGATCTGTACCTTGGTTCATGTTAATGCCCTGTAAACATTGGTTCATGTTATTCATATATACAAGTATGTTTGTCGTATATAATTGTTATTTCATGATATGTGCATTTATATATCCTATCATTTCCCTGCTCACGAGCACATAACGGCCCTGTAAGCGAGATATAAACAAATGATATATATCATCCAACATATATGTTTTACAAAATAATAGGGGAACACCCAGGGAAAATATTTAGCAATCTTCGCCCGCGCAGGTGCTGATGAGCTGGCGACCGGTCACTGCCATCCAGGGGAGTGGGATTATGGCGGCATAATATATAACATATATACTATATAAATATATAGTATATACCCATACTTAGCTCATATACTAAGTCCGCTAAGTTTGATATAGCTAAGTGAGCTAACTAGATAGTATCTATAGCTAACTACTTAGTATATAACCTATCTAGTTATTAACCAACATGAGCCTTCAAGTAACCTGAATAGTTCGGCCATTTTGGGATGATTCCTCTTATTAGCCATGATTCCAGGGTTCGGGGGAACAGTGAGGTCGTTATAATTTGCCCAGAATTAGAATATTATATTTGTGTTATAGATGATTATCCCAGTTATACCATATTCTCAATATCATTTTAACTATTATATGATACTAATGATTATCCCAGTTATATGATATAATATGATTGTCCCATATTATATATATTATAGATATTTATAGATATTTATAGATATTATTATCATATCCCCAATGAAATCTTTATAGATGACTGATCCCGATGATATCATCTTCCAAGACCATTCCAACGGCCGCCCAGCGGCCTTTTCACGCTCTGGGTCGGGCGTCAACGTCATCACACATGGCCGTCGGGTACCAATTCCCTGGGCGACGAAGTTAAAGGGATAACCCAGCCTCAGCTGACTTCTCGGCAGATTTGGCATCACAGCTGGACATCCAGATTTAGCCCACTATTGTCATAATGTCTTTATCCAGATTTACCATCTGGTGATTTAACATAGCCATGGAAAATCACCATTTTTAATAGGTAAACCCAGGTAAACCATCTATAAATGGGCCATTTTCCATGGCTATGTTAAATAACCAGATTTACTACGTATCTTAATCTTGTTTTTACATTCATATTGTCTTTGTTGATGTTTATATACTATGTTACATGTTTATCTATGATTGGGATAACCCACTAATAATATACTATGTTGTTTTGAACGTTTTTATTTTTATTTTACATCTATTTTCATGGGGAAATGATGAGGATGATGATGAGGAGGAGGAGGATGTAGAGAAGGAGGAGGATGATGATAATGATGATGATTATGATGATGATGATGATGGTGATGATGGTGATGATGATGATGATGAAACATGGGATGGAACCTTTCTCTCCCTAAATGCAGGAAAGAAAACTGGTGACAAAATGTCACTCTGCTGCAACAAAGGGACAGGAAGTTGATGGTTGTTGACTTTCCTGATGAAGTGTCGCCAACAACAACCTTGATTTGACACTGCACGCATTCACCGCACATGCCAGGAACTCAAAACATCAAGAAGTACATGTCAGCCATAGAAGACATACGATAACATAAGACTATATAAGACTATGATAAAGCTACTGATTCTGGATATGTTGACATAATTCCTTGCGATTCTACATTCCGTGTCTGAAAAATTGTTCGAGTTGCGATCTGCTGTCCCTGATTCTCTAAGATGTCCAGGAGCTTGTTGCGGTCCTCAAACGGTGCCGCATTCTGGTGCGGCCCAAATATCTACATCCTCCAAATGGGTCCTGCTTCAGTAGGATCAAAATGATGATTAACCAATGGATTTCGGGATACTCCATGATACCCCTATGATACCCTATTTTCGGACAAACCAAGTTGGGTCGCTTCTTGATACACATCAGATTCAAAGTTGCCGAAATGATGCCAAAACCATCCAAACACTATCATCAGACATCATCCAAAACCATCCTTAAATGATGCCAAAATCATGCCGAAATCATGCCCCATCTTGACCCACAGGTTACATTGCGGACAAAGCAGGTCCTGCAACTTTGAAAGCTGTTCTGGTTCCAAATTGGGTTTGACGCCATCCAACCTGCAAATCTGAAGCTGAACGAACGACGTGACATGTCATGTAGATCGAACCCAAACATTAGCATTTGACAACAAACTTGACATTGTCTGAACATGTCTGAACATGTCTGAAAACACTGCTGTTAGTCCGGCCATAACTTTCATATATTTTTTCAATGATTTCAACTGGCCCCAAGTTGTTTCAGCTCCCGGCTTCGAGTCCTTCGTCCACATCTTTCAAGAATTGACACGCACGTTGCGCGTGGTTAAACAATGTTAAACAGTCTCCAAAAATGAGGTCACTCGGTCACTCTTATTGATGTACCATTAAGATCCACTAAGTATATCTATTTATTTATGTCGAGTCAAGGTATTGTGTCTGAAAGCTTTGGTGGTAAGGGGTTGTGGTGTCAGCAACATCTGACAAATGCGCTGATGGCCATAAAGAACTAAGTTGGGTCTTTAATCTCCATGACTTTGGCGTAGTCTGATCATATCGCTCTAAAGCCATGAGATCCCAAAGTACTGCAAAGGAGCAGCTGAAGCATTGCCAAAGTCAACACCTGAGTCCTTCTCTCTGCGCACTGATCACTGAGGGTTGAAACTGCACGCTACACCCTTTTGGATCCTTTTGGGGTCGCCCACGACCGACTTGAGATCGGTCCAATGTCTTAGTTTCACCATGCTCCGGATTACAAAGCTGGACATAGCATCTCGCTCATGATGAATTAAACAATTTCAGCCGCAGGGCTGTGCACGAAATCGCCAGGAAAGCAATGGACAGCAATGAACAATCGTGAAAACACAGAAAGAACTTGCATACCAAATCATACAAACATATTTTTAGGGGGATGAACATCCATTTACCAGCTATTTTGAGGTTCACCAGGGGTACAGGGTTTTGACCCATCCAAACATATCCAAAGTGCAAACAGTGACATGCGAATTCATGCAGTGGCAGCCCAGACGGTTGCTCCACAGCTCATCACGCTGTACAAGGAGCCTGCCTCTGATCCACTCGGGATTGAGGGCAGTACGGTTTATGACTAACCTCAAGCTAAGCCAACTGTCAACAGATTGAGCAATACAAGTGGCCCATAGTGGCCCAAAAAAACATCATGGAACAGCAGAATGCAGAATGCGCCAGAGTAAGTGTGGGACAATGTATCGCCAAGTCAGATTGATCCTGGCCTTGAGACAGCCCAGTGACTCAGTGATCACGAATTTAGGGAACACCATCAGAACCCAACAATTGCCATAATCTCTGGTTACCCTCTGGTAATTTAACATAGCTATTGAAAATGGCCCATTTATAGTTGATTTACCTATTAAAAATGGTGATTTTCCATAGCTATGTTAGTTTACCAGAGGGTAAACTATAATTCACCTCAAATCTGGCTATGTTGGGATAGTTCAAAGTTCCCCCGATCCAATTCCCATAATTCCAGTTGCGAGCCAAGAGACGGTGGAATATGGACAACTTTTCCTGAGCCATGGCAATGAGCAGTGTTCAAAACTCAAAATGTCGCCCCTTTATGCTAGTAGCTTGGAAACTGGCTTCCTATAATATATAATTATATAATATTATATATATATATTATAAGTTATTACTTATATTTAATTATAATAAATTTCCTATAACTCCCTACATCTCCTATATAATAACAGATCAACTTGAGTTTTGGCCATTGCTCAATTTCTTCGGAAAAGTTCAGCCCAAATTCTCCAATGAAGCAGCAGGAGAGGATGCTGGGCTGGATGCTGCACCCTGCGCATGGCTGACACGGTGAAAGTTCTATGGGTTGCATCCCTTATCATTTCATAGTTGCTTAGTAGGGAGAATGATTTAATTATCCCCATCATATACATATATGTATAATATTGTATAATTATATATATATATATGATTTATATATATATGATATATGATGATATATGTATGTATGTATTTAATATATACAATACTTTATATAATTAATATAACATAGTAAAACATAGTTAATACACATCACAGTCTACAGTACTTTTTTTTGGCCCCCGAACGAATCAACCACCATTCAACCAGCCTTGGCGATTTGGTGGGAGTAGTGCCGCTGAAATGCACCTTCCATGCTACAGAGGTCACCTGACGAGCCATGCAGATCTGGCGGATGTGGGAAAAACATGGGAAAATGATGGAAAATGGGATGAACAATATGATCAATGGCTTGGTTTAAGGGAAAATCTACAGGAAAGCCCCATATTTAATGGGACAATCTATATGGTTTCCTGTAAAATTTCCCTTAAACCAATCCAATCAAAAATATGTGGGATTCGATTGGAACATATGAAAAAATTGCTTGCTTTGAGTCACGCAGCCTGAGTGAAGGTCAATTCCCTGCAATGTGTCGTGGAAAATACTCGGCTTTCCAGAGATATGGCTTCGGTCCTGCAGTGATGGCAGATTGTGCTGGCCGTGGACAAAAATGATTTTTAGGAGCCAGGGAATATTTCTTCAGGCAACTGATATTTAGCAAGACACACATGATACAAAGCAGCAGCTATACTTAATATCAATTGATAACATCCAAGAGTACTTGAGTGTTGCATTTCAGCTACTTGTAATAGGGTGCGGATTTTTTTTTGGGTTTTTTTTTCTTGTTTTGGTATTTTTTTTTTTTGGTCGTGGGCACGGTTTCCTCACTTTTTCCTTGTTTTCCATTACTTTTCCTTCGTTTTTCATTGGTTTTCCTTCATTTTTCCTCACTTTTTCCTCGTTTTCCAGTATTTTTCTTTGGTTTTTCATAATTTTCCTCACTTTTTTATCGTTTTCCATTACTTTTCCTTGGTTTTTCATAATTTTCCCCACTTTTTCCTTGTTTTCCATTATTTTTCCTTAGTTTTTCATTGGTTTTCCTTCACTTCCCTTACTTTTTCCTCGTTTTCCATTACTTTTCCTTGGTGTTTCATTCGTTTTCCTTCACTTCCTTCACGTTTTCCTCGTTTTCCATTACTTTTCCGTGGTTTTTCATCATTTTCCTCACATTTTCCTTCCTTCCTCAATAAGAAAACAGGAAGGGGGTATTGGGGAGATTGTCTATGGATTTTTCTATGTTTTTCTTCAATTTTTGTATGGTGTTCATTCATTTTTTACTGGTTTTCATTCTTACATTGTTTTCATTGTTTTTTTTTCCGAAGTGCTCATTGATTTTTGGAGATACATGATGTGCAAACTATTAACTGTAGATGTATAGAGGTATACATGCATGACTAATCATGACTATATGCATATGTAGATCAATGTATTTACAAGTGTAATTAATATATCTGCAGGGTTTGGTTTTAGGGTTTATTTAGGGTTGGTTTATGGTTTATTCTAGATTTGTTTAAGGTCTATTTAGGGTTGGTTTTAAGGTGTCTTTAGGGCTCGTTTAGGGTCTGTTTAGGGTTTGTTTAGGGTTGGATTAGGGGTTATTTAGGGATACAACATGTACATATAAATAACTATACTTATGTGGACGCATATGCGTGCACATGATTATTTACAGTTTATTTTGGGATGAAAGCTGTGTATATAAACAACCATATATATATAATATAATATATACATACAATGTATATACAATATATATCCCTATAGATCCTAAGTATGCTCTAAGAAGGTGATTGGGAGGTAAAACCATTCTAAGAAACAGTTTGTACCAAAGACCATTCTAGGAAACAGTTTGGAATTTATGGATTTTTGGGAATTTTAACTTTTGGTGATTCATCATGATTTATGGGAACCTTGAACTAATTCTACCCCAATTCATCATGATTTGTGGGAACCTTGAACCAATTCTACCCCAATTCATCATGATTTGTGGGAACCTTGAACCATTTCTACCCCAATTCCACCAAATCCATCACACTCCAGCCACCAGTGGCTCCAACTGGCCACATTTCGGCCAATCCCTGGCCAAGATTTTTTGCACATCCTGCCCGGAGTCTCAGAAACGATCGAACTGGGTCACCTGACTCTTGTTGGTCAGCCTCAGCATGATGCCAAGGGGAGCACAAAGGGAAAAAATATAGTTGAGTGGAACCATATTATATTCATCCCAAAATTAGGGGTTATATGTAAAAAAGAAGCCCAGTGTACCACCGGATCGTGGCCATCAACTCTAAGTTCTGTTGTTTCGATGCCGCACAGCATGTTTTCAATCGACCAATGAAATCTTCGGTGTGGAAGCTATGGAACTTTCTGCAATTGAGTCCTTAGGTTGGATAACAGCCAACCAAAAAAGATGGATTCAAAATGATTCAAACCAGCTCAGCCATGTAGTGGGGCCCAAATGAAAAGTTATGTCCAATAAATCTGAGGATCTGTCTTGGGTCTGTTTTGCGACCATCTCTTGCATTCCCTGGGTGTTGATTAACAGCTCATTAAAAAGTTCAGCAAATATTTATTTTTAAATTTGTTGGTCTCTCCCCACAAAATAAAATTGGTAAAATGCACGATGAAACCGAGGCACATGCCACTTTGGGCGAGCCGGCCACATCACACGATCTAGCCGTAAAGCTTCCACTGCCAGGTCAATGTAGCAAGAAATGCATCTATCCTTAGATTGATATTGTATTAGCTTTGATGAGCTTTGGACAGGTATGTGCCAGGTACCCAGCCCTATATCCCCATCTATCACCTGAAAATGGTTTGGGACATGAGAGTGTCAGATCATGTACTTAAGCTTATGAAGTGATGTCAGGGTCTCCAGGGCCAAGTACTATGAATTGAATATTTTTGGTGGATGATCCCTATATTATGTCACCCAAATAATTTGGCTCACCCAGCCACACATTGCTGCTGCAAAAGGCTGGCCGCTTCCAGAGTCAAGTACCGGCCATTCTCTTCCAAGGTCAAGTGAAAAGCTGCCATGGAGCACCTCAATTCGAGCGCTTCAAACATGTGAACAAAAAATCTCGAACGGGGCCCCAGAATAGAAGAGACAAGTGGAAAGGGTCAGAGAGGGAGTGAGTGCAATCATCACAAGCGGCATGGCGATCAATGGCCACTACCGGAACAGCATCAGCAACTCCAGTTGCTTAGTCTTCACAGAGGCCAAGGAGACAGTAGATTGGTCGACCAAAGTTCCTCTTGGGGCATTCTGTGCACCCAGGTCTCACAAGTGACACCCCGGTCGATTGCTACGATGTTGTGTCAATCGTGAGGGGCCTGGAACTGGCGTGGATTTCTGAGCACAATGTGCGGCCACACAGTCCAACGCAATCGTCAATTGGACATGGCTTGCTGTGGCACCGATTCTGGCGTCAGAAGACTTTCCGGGCACGAGTGAGCCCTTGTCGTACTGAACGAGATCGCCCAGAGGGAGTTCAAGAGGGATGACTTCGGATTGCCACCATCCAGAAAGTGCAGAAGGAGTTGATGGGTTATAGATCTAGTCCAGTCCATTAATCCTGCTGTATTCAGATATATACTTGGGGTTGTAATTGTCAAAGTATTTGGATATATAATATTTGGAAACAGGCTACCCCAAAAGACAAACCCACCAATAGCAGGTATAAGCTAGCTTTATAAGATCCAGATATAAGACCTATAATCCCATGTGGCCAAGGCACATGCAATCTTTCATCACCACCAGGTTCTGATATTGCTCATCCCGACATAGATCATCCAGAAAGGATGCCATCCAAGCTACACAGACACGTGCCTGGGCAGAGGCCAAATAGTGCAATTCTTAAGTATATAACATTTGGGTCATCCCAATGTTTTCTGGAAACACCAAAAAAAATGCACTAACCCTTTCCAGTGGCATTCCACGCCTTTGATTGGAGTTCTGGGTAAGGATGCTGACGGCTGGTAATTGTTTTGGTGGAAAATTTCCCCATAGAGTGCCTGGGTTGCCAATAGACAAGTTCAAGATTCAATCCCAAAAGCTTTTGAACACTATGTTGGAAGTAAAAACCAATTCCATTTTGCCTTAATGGTTTTAGTTTGGTAATAGGTACATAAGTCTTACTGGACTAATCCAAGGGACTGCCATTTGTTTTGCCGGGCCCAAGACTTAAATTCAAGCCAGGCATTCAGAAGCCTTTCATCGTCTTCACCAGACCCCCAAATCTCAGTGTCAATGAGGAGGGTTTTCAGAGCGTTTCCCACAAGCCAAAGATCACATCCAAGATGAATAAGATGCATTGCACACCATTTGATGTTACTGGTGTAGAAATGGGGCAGCAAAAGTAACGGGCCTTGATAGCACTGGGGAAGAGAAACAACAAAGTCCCTTGTTGATATATTTTTTGGGGGAACAAAATAGTGTGAAGGGTTTAGTAAATAGGTGAAAACAATACCAATCTAACCCAAATATTATCTTTCAGGATAAGGGGTTTTCAGCCCAAGAACATACTTCTCCAGGTTTGAGACATTCAGCAAAGAACTCATCAAGAGTATACCTGTCACCATGCAAAGCCCTTCGCATGTAAGTATCCTTGTCGGCCCTACATTCATGACATAGCAGTCGGCATTGAAAAAAGTTTTTCAAGTTGAGCCATTCCTGCACAGGGTTTAGTCTAGCCCAAATTACTTGTGGGATTTTGTGGGGTATACCATAACCCACCAACCAGACCAACCTCCCAAAGACTGTCCTTTTGGAACTTCCAATCACCACGAATTTCAGATAGAAAGAAGCGGTGGGTCTTGCCATCGTGTTGGATTCCTTCTTCATATAGTCGACCAAGCGATTCAGCAACCTCAAGTTGTAATCCAGCGAGGGTGATCTAAATACTGGCTTAATAGGAATTGATTATAGTCGATTCAACTTAGGCATCGGGATGCAGTACTTAATCTATATCCAAGATAAGGTCACATGGGGAACAGTTTTATAGATTGCTACTTGAGGCCAACATGGTGCCGGTTCACTTCATCCATCCGCAAATCAACCCAGGACAGGTTATATGTGGACAAGGGGCCGGCTTCAAGTAGGCACAAAGGGTCTCATAGCCACAGCTCATTTCCTAGGATCAAGCCAGCATGAATTCAGCTACCCGGTTTGATCTGTTTAAGGTTTAGCTATCAGACTACTTGAAAGCCTTTAAAATATTTAGATTCTCAAATCGTTCCCAACAAACAAAAACAACTTCTCAATGGAAGAAGTCAAGATTCTTCCCTGCAAATCACCAATGGGAAGCATTTTTTGATAGAGTCAGTTTCATCATCCAGAACACTTCCAAAACAGATCACAATGACATTCTGATCCTTGTTGTAGTTAGCTGCATCACCCCAAATCCAAAGCGGGTGATGGGAACAATCAGGAGATGCATCAGCAATCTCAGAGTTCACCTCATTCAGATGATTCCAAAAACGCCGGATTTTCCTCTCAGGTGTAGAAGGCCAAAGTTTGCGGTCCATCAGCCAAGGAATGATATCTTCGGGCATGACATATGGCATTTGCCTCACATCCCCAAAATAAAATGACATATAAAATATGTTGTCATTCCCCATGGTCACATCTTTTGGGGATATGCATAAACCCGAAAAAAAACAAAAAGTCAATCCGAGTGGCTTTGGGCTATCATCCCATCCAGAATCACCAAAGTCCCACAGTGGAATTTCTGCAAATCGAATAGGGACCTTGATGCAACCCAACAGTACTAGCACACAAATGAATACCCATATGTTTTTAGTAGGTGATGGTCCCCAACCAGAAGATGTTCAACCAGGCATGGAAAGAAATCAAAACTATCGTATCAATTTTCACATGGGGTAAACTCCAAGCCACACGGTGGTCATAGTCCATGTTGCCCATTTTCCTAAACCAGTCACGCTTGATATTATTTTGGTGGCGCCCTGCAGCACCAGCTTGGAAGAGGGATGCTGCTGGCCCTTTCATATGATGCCCTTGGAATTCAAATTCCTGGATCAGGGATTGCATTTGTTACCCATGGATTTAACTCCCAATTTATTTCATTTATAACCACTGATGAAAAAAAAAAGGTTTTCTTATGTCCCACAATACCCCAAGTAAACAAACCTATGCTTTCAGTTTTTCAGAACAGTCACAGGCCACCCTGTCCTTGCGCACATGGTTGACGATCTCATGTGCCTTTCGGTATGAATCCTTGGCTCACCCAAACACCAAGCTAAAAAGTATAGATATAGATATAAGACATCAATGCACAGGCCCCACAAACTAATATGCTGTCCAGTCTCTTCTCCCAGTCCACTCTCTCGAAGGACAAAAGCAGTCAAAGGGGATGTCGTGCTACCTGGTCTCAACTGACCTGCGTGGGGCATGGACTGAAACCATTCAAAAGGGGATTCATGACTGGAAGGTTCAGGGTTGTCCTTGAAATAGTGATATGGAATAAACAGATAAACATTTCAACCCAATTAAATTCAAGTTTGTGGTGGTTCTTCAAACATTTTTACCCAAAGTTTGACAACTTGAATTTTGCAATCTATATTTACAGTTGGGGCATATGTACACTGTACCCAAATGGATGTTTTTTTTTGCCAGCAGCAGAGGGCGGTCGCCAAGACACATGAGCATACGATCGACTCAAAATGTATTGAAAGGTGTTATCACCTTTTTCACCAAATGCATCCCTCAAACTCAGCACTTAAGTTGCAAGTTTTTTTCTTGGGGTTTTGTGGCAGAACCCCCATACAATTTTGAAAACTGTTTGGCTTTCTCTTCTTCGGAAGAATGCATTTGCACATAACCCCAAAGCCAACCAAATCATATGAGGCTGCTGGGTGGATCCCGCACTTGTGTGAGCAAGCCAGCTCCGAATCAGTGTTCGAGAAGCTGAAGAGAAATTGAGAAATTGAGAAGTCGGAGCACAAGAAGCACCTTTCAAAAGTGAGACAGGCAGCTTAAACCAAGCTGTTGGGGTGAACAAACTATGAGGACAGGCCCCTCTTAGCACTGGCTCGCTCTCACATTGCGACAGTCAATGACGAGGACATCATCAACAGTTGGAATCCAAAATGTCTATAAAGTAAGTTTTATGTAGTCACAGCCTCACATGATCTACTGTGCACATGACTAAGTCTTGGCCGATAAGTGGCCCTGCAACTTCGCTACCATCTAGCTTTGCACACTATGTTGGGCCAAAGCTGCCACTTGAAATCTAGGTTGCATAAGGGACCCAAAGGGTGTCAAAATTTAAAGGGAAAACAAGATATGGAAATAATGGGACTACTTGGCACTATGGCACATATATAATCTGATGTTGTATTTGGGTGATGAAATAGTGTTATCAAACGGTTTGGATCCAAACCCAACCACAAATCCCATGTTAGGACATTACATATTTTTTTATAATTGTGATGAATCCCAAAATGATATTATATAGATCTAGTAAGTTTTCATCCCAGGGTCACTCAGGGGAATTGTTTCTCACTCTGGCCCAAACAAATCCAGCTCTCACCCAAGGCTGCGTTGAACATCACATTCATGGCTCAGCAGCAGCCTTTGCCTTCGCCTTAGGTCTCGGTTCCTTCTTTGCCGGAGGGTCCTGGGCATCATCAAGGGGGACCAATAATCCAAACCTATGAGGCCCAAAATAGATGGGTGCATTTTTCACAGTAAACAAAAATCATACAACTTGTAGATCCAAACTACATGATTGATTACATGGGGCCCCCAAATCGATCCCAAATGGTAAACAAAAGATAGATAATATTGGTAATAGTCAATTTTTTGGATCCACAAAAAATGAATTCAATCAGCTTAGATTCAATGGCCAACTTGATACTCTTAATGGTTCCATTGAAGGAAGTGAAGGCTGACTCACAATTGGCCAGGTTGGTATTGATGGTCTCCAACAGCTTTTGGTCCGCATGGATTGTTTCATCTGTTTTTCCCAGGGTTTGGGCATAGCAACTTTCCAACGACGTCTTGGCAGCACAAATGGCTGTCTTACGGGCATCCAACTCAGTCTTGAAGCCAGTAAGAAGGGTGGCCGACCTCTAGATGATTCTTAGATGCTACAAAAATGTTGGTAATCCCACTTTATATTGGATAGATGGTTTTTGTATTCTAGCACAACCCTTTCAAATATTACGGAAAGAAGAAGATGGCAAATCAAAACTGGGAAACAGTGTTTTGTTGTCGGTCACCTTTGCTTCCCAAGCCATGAGTTCCGTTAACTTTGAACTGCTCGATGAGATCTTGTTGGTCACCTGTTTTGCAAGAGGGACCACCTTCTTCACCTTCTCAGCTCGTGGGGCCGGTGCACCGGCTGGTGTCCCACCAGCACCCGGCTGCAATCCCAAACCAGCAGCCTGAAATCGCTCAAGATCTCCACCAACAGCAATCTGCCTGAGATGCATCAAACAGGAAAAAGGTTAGGGAATAAGATAGGACCCCATAGTCACATAATGGGTATACTGCAGGCAAAGCGCATGGCTTGGCGAGTCTGGGATTGGTCCAAACCACCAGAAGCAGTGATACCAATAGTCAAGTCTTCGCTCACCTCGTCCTCATACAACATACTGTCGAACATCCTCACCATTTCATGGTCCTGAAACAAACAATCACCAGAGGTGTGGGTGAATAGACAACGTAACAGGGGCAGGGACCTAGGTCTGAACTGAACAAGGTTTTCTAATAAGGTTTAATATATTCAACCATCTCATTTGAAACACATCCCAATCAAACAGGTTGTTGGACATGTTGAGGCCTCATGGTCAACATCAGGGTGCTTCATCCAATACACCAAAGGATCACCAGCAACCTTGTCTTCCTCTTGTTTTTTCTTTTCGTGAAGGATCTGTTTTGCCAACGAGTTCCCAAAACGCTCTTTCAAGGTGCGGTAGGTCATCATGGTGTATTTGCCACGTCGGCGCTGGGCCATTGAACGCGAAGCGTTGCAAACTATGGAGCTTTGCAGCCAGTCTTCTCCAGCCGATAACCAAGCTTCAAACAACTCACCGATGAGCTGTCGGTCTTAGTGGCAGGATGCAGTAATGAAATGAAATTTAACAGGTGGAACTGAATAGAAAGTTGTTGGCCCAAACAGACATGAAAGTCATCAGCATCAGAAAAGGGATAAAGGTCAGCAGGTCACAATTTAGATCAAGTAACCCTCACCCCTTCAGAGGAAACAAACCAGGTCTTCATATTTTTATCCTAGTTGTTGTATGTCAACTTCAGTTCAAGAAACAAAGCCAAGAAGCTGTGGCGTCGACCCTTTGCTTTCTCCAACACAGCCGTCGGGCAGCGAGAACCTGATATGATGGCAGGAAATGTTTGAAACAAAGCCAGAGTGGTCAGGCTAAACATGAGAGCCACAGCATACAGTCAGCATTACTAAAACCTAGAAGCTGGTCAAACTCCTGTGGAATCTCATTTTGGCATTGACTGCCATCCGTCGGTCATAGTCCTCCTGACTCTCAACCCTGTCACCAGTCACCTCCCCAGGCTCCACAGAAGCTGTTGCCTGGGCAAAGGAATCCACTACATAATTGGTTTTTGGTGACTTTTACAATTACATTTCAAAACAGTTTCTTTAGATTTCTTTAGGGGCAAATAGTTAACAATACTTAAATGAAATGAGACATGATACACGTGCTGGAGCCAATGCTTCTAGCTGGGTTGTGTCCTTTCGAAGGAGCAAAGTAGTCTTGGCAACCACATGTGGTGCAGGTTCCACGTGGGGCGACTCCTGAAGGGTATGGTTTCATTAAGTATGTACTATGTTTTTACCCCAACATTTTATGTGCACCCCTGTGATAGTCCATTTTGGTTTAACAAAAGGGTGTTCACTCTTTAGTCTAATGAGGCTCCTGGGTCACATCACACACCTGCCGGTGATCGTCCAAGTGTTGGCCAAGGTCCGCTTCAGCTGCTGGCACTGGCATCGAAACCTACAGTTGAGGAGAGATGGATGGTGTGGACTTGGGGGAACTGGCAGCTTTCCACTAGTAATTAGTCAAGTAACCTTGGGTGAGGTCTCCATGATGGCTTCCAACTCACCAAATAGATCGGGGTCAATACCAACATCAGGCTCCATATGCATATGTTCAGCCCAAGAGCTGTAGGCATTCTCAATCATTTTTTCGACATGTTTGTGAAGCAAATCTTCAGCACGATGAAATTCATCCATTACACATTGGAACGCCTTCTCAAGCACCTGCACCTTGTTGCCTTTCCAGACCATGATGTTCTTCTTGTTGACCTGGAAAAGAGGTGACTCCTCCACATTGGTAGAACCCATGGCTTCCACCTTTTGACGCTGCTGGGCGGTCATGGCATCAACAGCACTATTGATTTTTGCCAGTGCAAGATTGTGTTCACGTTCTTTTGTTTTCACTGCGGTTTCCTTCTGGTGAATCAGTTCCTTGATAGTCACAGCTTTGAAGCACAGCTCTTGCATGGTAGGGTCCACCTTCGAAACATCACCATTTTCTTGCCGAATATCCAACCAGATACATGTGGGTTTCACTAGCTTATCAAGTGCTACCTCACGACCCGGTAGCGACTCGAACAAGCATCTCCACAACGGTTTGTTGTACTGCTCATCCATGGCTGCATCAACCTCCATGTCATCCACATGTCCCAAGGGGATAGTTGTTTGGGTCTCCAAGTGGCGCAAGGGCTTCTGACCATCAACAGTAGGATCACTTGGAGAAGGGCTACCTTAGTAAGTCAAGACCATAGAAATAAAACCCAGTAATGTTTTTGGACAATCAGATGACGTACATTGCATGTCACAAAAGATTGGTCCAAGTTACCATTCACCGAAGCATCAGCAGGTTTCTCATCACCACCATGTACCTTAGCATCTGAACCAATGTGGCACATTCAAATGCCAAAGAGTTTTTAAATAGTTTTTAGCCACACAGCCCCCCAAGTACACAGTGAATAATGTTCTGAAGGCATTGCCTGTGGGAACGTGCTAACAGTTTACACCAGTATATACGTTTATTCCTCATGTAGGTTGAATGCATTTGGAACAAGTTAAGCCTAGTAGCAGCATTGTTCTGAGTCCCCAAGGATGAATCCATCTCTGTAGTGCCCGGTGTAGATACATCCAGATCAACGTCATTCAGCTCCCCACACAGGCTGCGTTTGATACAGCCACCGTCAACATGGCCATCATCGACATCAGGCTGGCCAGATTTGCTTTTTTTCGGGTCAGGGCTCTTGACAGGTGTAAAGGACGAACAAGGGGGTGGTAGAGAAGCAACAGCTGGAGGGGCTTCAACTTTCACACCACCACCACCCGCAAGCCCAGAGGCAGCACTAGGTCCCTTCCTTCGGGACAACACAGAAGTAGTCGGCACCGGGGTACTTGTTCTAGCTGGAGTTGCCACTGGCTTTGCACCTCAGTACAAGAGCTCAAATGGGCCATAGTTTGATGTGAGGTCAGGACAAGTTGTTTATATGCTATTTAAGCATTTATAGCTAGTTATATGCATATGATATAAGGGCAATATTCGTTATAATATATATTTATGTATCATATAGTTCACAAAACTCAGGCAGTCACTAGGTGTAAGCTTCATCTTCAGACGATCCTCCAGTGAAGCCAGTTCTTCACCAAGATTGAAAGAATCCATCGATGATGCTGATTTCGACCGATCCTTATGCATTTCAACTGCCACAACAATGCACACATTTCAATTCAACATCATCAAGGTCTGTTTCAAATACTATTGTGATGGGTCCACACCCCAACATTAGATATACAGCTGAGTTTCACCTGGCCCAGCACGGCTCTTGGCCGCAGTAGGCCCAGAACCAGGTCCCCTTGAGGCCAAAGAGGACATATGTTGGAGGGCAGAATCACCTGCAGCAAGCAATTGATCATTCACCCCGAAATCTCCCGAAACTCTCCCGAAAATCTCCCCAATCCTCCCGAAAATTTTCCGAAATCTCCCGAAATCTTCCGAAATTTCCCGAAAACCCAAAATAACGCAAAATAACGCAAAAATAACGCCTAACTGTCTCTGAGAACGCACTTATAACGCAAAATAACGCAAAAATAACGCGCTATTTTTTTGACCCAAATCTGCCTCCACTGGAGCTGGGTTTCCCCGAAAATCTCTTGAACCGCAATGTAGATCAGGTAGTCAAAGCATGACACTCTCCACTGACCCGGATGGACCACACAATTAGTTTTTTGTTTGTACTATCATTATAGATTCATATATTGACTCAATCTTGGAGAAACAAATACATATGTGGGATGGATTTCACTAGCCTTGAGATTCTATACCAGTATCGTACCCTATGGTTTGTATATATACCAACAATATGGATCTCATAGATGGTGATTTCCAGTCAACAGAGAGTACCTGTGGGATTGACTATGGGCTTAACCCCATGTAAATGGGCTCGAGTACAATTATGCAAATACCAATCAGATCAAAGTGATCCAGCTAAGACTAATGCAACAGAAAAGGTATCTATGGGGCACCATGCAAAGAACTGAACCGGGACACCAGGGCGCACAATCAGGAAGGGAACAAAAAATGAAACATATAAGTGATTACTTATATAAGATTGGGCTATTTCATTTTTTGGTCACCTTCCCCAACAACCACCATTTTCCACGGCAATGTTTCTAGGAATGTGCCAATGGTTTTGCACATCAAATTGACCATGTGGCAAGCCACATAGATCCACAAATGCAATCACTGGTATATCAATCCAGCTCCATCCATGATCTAATTGATCAAACCCAAAAACGTTTCCCAAATTGAACTAGGGATCACGTGGGTTTAAAATTGAATTGAAAGTGTTCAATCCCTCTAAAAGCCTGGGCCAGGAAAGGTGATTCTTTTACCACTGCAAGTTTTAAGTTGTTTTTTGAAAAGCCAATGGCAAGAAATTAATCCAGGGATACCAGTAAATTGTTAGACAGCACCTTGTCGGTCACCTGTCCTCCAAATTGGCCCGCAGTTTCTCAAAAGCTGCTGCTGAAGGGGCGATTTGGAGAGGCACATCTGGGTCTGATTGATACCCACCATTCCGGGAAGCAAACGACACCAGCTGCAACAGGCTGCTAAAGTCACCATGGTTCCAATCACAAAGATCAGGTAACTCCTGCAGAATGATGCATATGAACAAGTTTTACCAGTATATTAAAACATGATTGTACAATATGGTATCTGTCATGGATTGCCTATTTGCATATATATTATAAATTGGTTCTTCAGATGCAATACATTCATATAGTCTCATAATACATGTAAATGGGTTCCAATTGATCATTTTTACAATGGGGATTTCATGTGGGCTGATGTACTGGTTCTACTTGAGTCCTTGAAGCCACCATTGACTATGCCAAGCAAATCCAGGGGCGGGGCTCCATCTGCCTCAGTAGGATGGGGAAACCCAAATGAGCCCAAAAGAAAGGTGTACTTTTCATTACCGGTGATGCATTAGTTTTACAATCATTGCATTGTTCATCATCATGGATTCATCATCAAGGACTGCCACATTATGATCCATTAGTCCAAGGTACCATTGACTCAGCATGTAGTCGGGCAACTTCTCTGCCAAAGTCACGTGGGTATGCTGCAGAGAGTTTTAAGTCTCTACCTCCTGTCCTTAGTAGGGCTCATTCCAAAGATGTTTTAATTATATGTTTATATATAAATCAATAATATATTAAATTGATTTTGGATCCCTTTTTTCCACCCCAACCTTTATGGAACTATAATGCAATATATTTAATTTAATTTATTATATATAATATAGTTGGAAACCAAGACCACAAACATACCCCACAACAACACATCATTTAAAATTGTGCCAAAAAACACTTGCTTTTTTTTGGTGGTCTTCTGGACAGACTGAATAGTCATTTGCCGTTTTTGCTGGGAAGCACGATCACGAATCTGTTGTCGATGCCCAGGTTGGAGAGGGTGATATAGTTTCGCCATCCATTGACTCAGATCAATCCAAGTCAAACAGGCTCAGTATTTCACATGTTATTTGTTTTATGATATATCAGCATAGACCCATAAGCCAAATGGATACCCCATACAAGTATTATATTAAATATATATTATATTAATACTACAATCCAGACAGATGCCAAGTCTGAACTATCACGGCAAGGTACCAATTCCCAAGGCCCATTTGGGGCTTGCATGACCAGCCACCAAAGTATCCCATCCACCTGGGCAAGATATGGTCATGATTTAAATTCACATGGCTAGTGCTGATTTGTTCAAAGACATGTTTTTTGATGAATGCAAATTACATTCCATATGTACACAGTGTAAAACCCAATTAAGAAAACCAAATAAGACCCTGACCAGAACACACGTTGAGGATCCACTTGTGGAAACGAAAGTAGGTGTTGCAGGTAAGGGAACACAGCAGCTGCTGAGCGGTCAGGCTGCTCTACAAAAAACTTCACTTGTCGGCATACACATAGCATCAGTAGGGCTACCATTCTTGTTGCTAGGATGGTGCCAGCCACCACAAAACCGTGGTGATTGCATCCAAATGGATCCCCAGAGGTTCTCTGATGTAATGATTTTGCCATGAAGCTGAAGCTATTGCAAGGCAGGGCCCAGTAGCCCAGTCCCCCTTCTTTGATCCTCAGTATCTGTCGAACAGCAAACATGAAGCCGATGTTGCCAAGTAGGTCATGACAGCATCCATCAGTCTCATAGTCAACACCTTGCCTTAGATGACAGCCCCAAGCACAGACACCAACCCAAAGGATGCATATTGATTCCCATCTTCATTCATCAAAATATATAGGTGCGACATATGGCCATGACACCGCAAATTAATGTTAAGCCTTTGCAACCCTTATGCACAAAGGATAAGCTTTCCTAAGACTGAACCATATATGCAACACAGTCTTTAGTGCAGCATCAACCACAGCTTGAAGCCAGGCCACGCTGCCAGATCAAGCTCGCCTCAGCCAGTATTGCTCCCAGTAATGGCGACAGGGGAAGTGTCACAGGTGGAGGGAGGGTGATCCAAAAACATTTTTAAACAAAATCACAGTGAAAACAAGTAGCCAACTAACCAGTGTAGCTACATTACATTTACCAAGAAAGCTTTCAAACAAATAGTCCAAGTCAAACCATACATTCACAAGACTTCAACCATTTGTTTCATACAATTACAGGCCATACATTGATAGTTTGAGCCAAGAAACGAAACCCAGATACCACAGAGGAAACCCCGCAGAAGTATTCCAGGCAGAACAAATCCTCACAGGTCACAGCGCCAAAACGTGAATCAGGGCTCAGCATGATATAGTATGATATAGTCAGGAAACGATATATAATATGCAATTCATATTTTATTTACCGTCCATGATATTAAGATTCAGTCCCCAAAGTGTATCTAGATAACCACACTTTCCTGATATTTAAAGTCACCACCAAAGAAAGGCACCTGACCAGAAAGCCAAGGGTCTCTGGTTTGATCTCTTTCAAGAGCTTCTCCAACGAAATCTGCGATATGAAGCCTTAGGTGATGTTGGGAATTTGAACAGATCAGTATGTTTGGGGCTCATGGGGAGTGAGAAATAATGAGAAATACCGACATATCTTCCGGGTTCAATATTTGGCATGTTTGGCACTTTACAAAATTGAGCCCTATATATTATTGATATGTTGTCCCATTATGGAACCATAATAAACTCAGTTCAACCATACTTCATCACCGGGGATATCTAGTCAACTTGGCATTCAAATGCCTGACTGCAATCAGGCAGCAGCAACGGTGGAGCTCCAAGTGCCAGCAAAGCACAAGCTTGCAGCTTGCTCAGGCGCAGCGACCGCAGAGATCGGGCAGGCATGGTGGTATAAACCAAGAGTGATGTTGCAAACCAGCCCCAAACTTGAGAAATGAGAATCAACTCAGGTCCCAAAGTTGGGTTTTGTTGATAGAATTGAGTGTGATTCTTTTGGGTTTTCAAGTGCTTGCAATGGTTGTTTTTACTTTCCAGTAGATGTTTCAGCTGGAAATATCTAGTAGGTCCAATTAAATCCCATGGTCAATATTACTTGCACATCTTTGAAATTATTTGATGTTACAGCAACAGTTATTACTAATGTTGGGTCCCCAATTTTGTTCCATCCTGTTTTTTTCAGCCAAGACTGCGGCCTCCAGTACCCAGTTTGGTCAATGAATCAAATGGACCGGAATGGTTTCAAGATAAGATGACATAAAATCATATTCGTGTTGATTTGAAATTGCCCCCATTAACACAGATCTGGTTGATTTAAAATGATATGCCCATGTAGATTTTGGTGAACACACCAGCACCCTGAAGGGAAAGATGGTGGGGATCGCACCTCCACTCTCGAAACCACGGTTTCCACCTGCGAGCAAACAGAACATGAGGTTTCCACTGCAATCAGAAAAACAGTTCAACTGCATTCAAATTGTTTTTGATACCAACTTAACATTAATTAGTCCAACTGGATTCAAATGGTTTTGATACCAACTTATCATTGGAAAAGATTGGAATGAAGCACTGAACAAACCTCAATACCTCTAACCCACCATGTCCAGAAATTGGCACCTGCAGCATAAGGATGCGATCTGCTGGAACTTGAAGTACCTGGAGCAAAGCAGGGAAAGGACCAGATAATCAGGGCGGAGTGCTTTCCAAAACTTTAACCCATTAAAATAACATCGGTGACCCCAAAAAATCCAATGGGATTGAAACCAACCATCAGATCATTTTGATAACATCTTTGTGGGTTCAAAACCATAATCCATGTCAATCCAGGAAGTGCATGTTTTGTTCCAGCTGCTAGATTCCCAAATCAGAGTCGGGTTGTCTTCATGCCTCACTTTTGATGGATTCAATTAGAAATGAATAGTTCAAATGAAAATTTGATAGAACTTTTTTTTCCGGGGTTCCAGATAGTTCCAAGTACTCCCCAAGACCAGAGGCCATCAGACCTACACCCGCTGGAAGCTAAATCGCAAACATTGCTCTGTGGCAAATGTGTAAAATGACATCCGCACTGCAGCACAGGGCCAAAACATGGCCAATCCATTTAGCAGATTGATACATACAATCTTCATTATATATTTGATATATATTAATTTATATACATATGGAATAGAATTATCTAGATCAATTATATAAAATCTAACTAGTCTAACAATAAAAACAATATGCAATTGCAATACATATACATTGTTTTTGCTATGGACATATGTTCCTTTTGGAATCTACATCAATGTAATCATATGTCTATTCACATCCTTGTGCCAGTGGGCAGTCAGAAAGCCAACCAGCAAAAAGCTGGGTCAAAGTTTGAAAGCATTGAGCTGAATTTGTTCAGCCATTCACGGTTGGAATGTAGGCAGCTTGCCAGTCCTGCAGGCATCAAATCGGTAAGGGATTTTGCAGAGGGATTCCAATAATGATTCGAAGCATCAAGAAATTGGGAAGTTGAATGCAACACCCACCACAAAGACCCATCCTCAACACCCCATCTTTCAATCACATCTTTTCGCTTTGCGACGACGAGAAGGAGCAGATGGGGCAGGTGCAACACTTCCAGTCCTGATTTGAAAACCAAAGCTGTAACACCATCCACTAGTAAAATCAAAATGAATCAAAATGAACACAAGTACTCCTTGTAGACTACATATTATTCAGGGTAAGCCAAGCAACCCCCAGCCAGCGATACACGTCGCATGTCCCCATGCAACTTCCGGCCGGCCCTGCCACGGCACAGTCACACCTTGCTTGTTGTCCACCTGCCACATGTGACACACTGAAATCATTTCAGCTAAACAGAATCAACTCAGTTCAAACTGTTTGACAAAGAAACTTGAAACGCAATCCCCCTACTGGAAAAGGATCCCACCTTGAGGTGTGTGCAGTTGGTCGGCCACTGGTTGGGGGATACTGCCTTCGAAATATAAAAGCTGTCAGCGTTGAGAATGACACCCACGGAGGAACCCTGACCATCTGGGCTCTTCATGGTGAAGCTGATGCGGCCATTCAGCTCCTTAGGCATCACCAACCCAGGCACCTCTACCTCCTGCAACTTCAGCCAACCCTCTTTGGCCTTGGCCCGTCTCTTCTCCTTTTCATCTTCTTTCCCATTCCCATCTGCAGGTGCCTTCTTATCCTTCTTAGTCTTGGTCGGTTTCTCAACCTCAGGCTCTGCCGTATCAACAGTGGCAACATCCTTTGACTTCTTCTGCCTTTTCTTTGGGCTCTTGCCAGGGTCTGGAATGGCCATTGGTGTCACATCCAAAGGCCTCTTGCCCCTAGAAGCACTGCCCCCAGAAGCAGCAGCAGCAGGACGACGCATCCCTTTCCCTCTGCCCTTTCCCTTTGTCTCTGTCTTCCCATCCCCCTTCTGTTTTTTCTTCTCCATTTTATTTGCCTTTTCTTCCTCTGCAGCCTGATGGCAATGGATACATTTTGAATCAAACATGTGACAGGGCTGAAGATTGTGTGCAACATTTGCTATGCCATTCAGCTGCAAGGGCGCACCTCACGTTTCTCCTTGCGCAGTGCAGCTTGTTGAGCTGCAAGATCAGCAACTTCATCCCCATCCTCCAACAAATGAAAATGCCAATGATTTGATCACCCTCCATCTGCCACACAAAAGGGAGACAAAATTCAAAAACTCATTCAATGACACCCAACCCCAGCAGCCTTGGAATCAGCAGCTTCAAGAGGAGGAACTGGCGGAGAAGGTTCATCCAAGGCCTACCAGGGTAAATCACAGCTTTCAATCTATCATTCTGGATCCCAACTTTCAGGCCTTCATTGCACCAGGCCATCTTTCAAAAAATGAACGTACTCGGATGTGGTAGGGGACCCAGTCTTTTGCAACTTGGCCCTGGCAACATGCAAAAGAACGTGATCAAATCTTGGTGGTGGTTTAAGGGCATTAACTCCCAAGCAAGCAACAAAGAGCCCGCCTTGTCATGACCTGTCTCCATATCTCGCTCAGCCCCAGGCTCATGGGACTCAGGATTCCAAGGAAGGGTCTGGCACAGAGGTCACATTGAAGTGGAAAAAGGTGCAAGATGGTTCAACAAAATCTTGGCCACCTCAAGGTTGTCAACGGATCCACCACGAGGAGGCGTCAAGCCCCATGCAACCTGAAAGATAGCCATTTGGCAAGGAGAGAAAAAACTTTCCAGTTATAATGCTTTAGCCATACAGCTACATGCACCCTTATTTTGTTTAAAAAAAATATTATATATGGCTAGTCATATTATATGTTTAAATTTTTATAGCTTATTCCACTAGAGCCCAATAGTAATATTATGTCAATATACGGCTTTTTGGCATATCCATAGCTTGACAGTTTTGGATTTTTGGACAGGAGCTCAGGATGCCACCCACTCCTCTTTGGAACGAGGCTGGCTGTCTGGGAAAGTCTTGGCGATGTCGGTGCACAGCTCCTTATCAGCTAGCAATATGGCTTACAACTAGATTGCAAACTTGAAGAACATGCTGCATTGAAAAAAACATATGAAGTAGACTTGGACTCCAACAGTTCCCATGCAGCTATCCTCTGCCAAGCTCTGCGAATCACCATTTTCCTGGGATTTTGATTTAATTAGGGGACTCTCCAAAGTATGGGCACGACATAGTACGACACAGGAACATCTATGCTCTTGGATCCCCACTGCAGGTGCACTGGATGGCTCAGCTTCCTCTGCAGGCGGATCCTGCGCAGTTGGCAGGTGGTGGCACAAGATATGAAAATTACAATGCACCCACTCAAGTAGTTGGCTTTTGATTTTTACTAATCAGGGATGATCAAGGCCCTCTGTACATATGGAAGCTGACAACTCATTTTGAAAAACTTTTCTTGAGGGCTGGACAGGGATGGTCGGTTCAGAGCAATCACCAAGGGCCGAAACCTGAATACGGTCGCAGATAACCAAGATTCATTGGCCACATGCGAGATACAGGAACAATCCCAAGATCAGTACAGGTTCCATATCATCTTCATCCTGCCATGGTCAGGTTTCATGTCAAAACAAAACTGAATTGTATTTTCCATACAACTTTCATAGCACAACAGTCCTTAATGGCGATCGGACCATTGTCAGCAGTCTTATCCTGCAGGCGGTTTTATTGAAATCTTTTTTTTTCAGTAGCACATATGTTGCAACATGTAAACCCATGAACCCCACCTCAACCCATATGGGTTCTTCATCCAAGTCAACTACCAGTTGTGTCAAGGCGTCCTGTCGAACAGCCAGGGCAAGTGGCAGGGATAACGCAGCATATGAATTCGAACACATGCCTCAACAACTTCTGCAGGAAGTGCACTCCCCTGGCAGCATGTGGTAAAGTTGAGGGAATAGAGGGGAAATGAGGGAATCATACCAGAATGCAACCACTAATGTATATGATCAAACTCAGGGTTGGTTGGAATGGATATTATATTTCTGAGATATGTTTGGAGTTTGGTATTGTGTCACAAATCTATCAGAAAATTGGATTCCGATGTTGTGGGTCTACCCCCAAAAGTCGGCAGGGATCTGATGTCATGAACCCTCATGGCACAATAAATGTAGCTGTTTTCGGAATGCAATGTGCCTCTTTCTTGCCAACCATCTTCAAGTAGAGGGTCTTCAGCACATGAACTTTCGGGTTCCTGGAGATTGCATTTGACATTTTGCCAAGACTTGACAAATATATATACTGTGAAACACTGCAACCACATCCCCTCTCAGCCCACCTCGCTGCATCAGCTTTCCGGGCCAAAGCATGCAGGTGCCCAAGCATCGAGCGAAGCTTCTGCGCTTGGTCATTTCCCCAGTCCTGCAGCAAAGGGCAAGTAAGAGGGACTTTAAGTTTGGGTGAGATAGAAATAGAAACCACTGTGCTAAATTGGTCCTTTATGGCGCGTTTCCCCCCTCTTTGGGCATAGAGTGGCTTGTGCCAGTTGTGCAGCAAGGTTGCCAAAAGGAATGCGGCCTGCCAACCAAAGGATTGTTTAAAGAATTCCATTTGGGGTTTGAATGCCAAGTTGGTAAACAATAAAAACAAGCCTGGAGATCTTTGACAGTAGGCAACCCATCTCCACGTTCGAAAAACTGCCGAAGGGCAATCAACACCTCCAGGATCAAGTAGTAGTTCCTGTCAAGGTCATCCTCGTAGACCTAAGAGCCAATGGGGCTGGACACCACACAACCCCAAAACATGGATCCAAATCAACCCCACTACCCACAATCCCATAACAGATACAGATGGTATATATGCATATGCAATATGGATCAAAAAACATCATCACATTCTTGGCTCATGCTTGGATGCAAAGATGAGGCCCCCAACAATTGGATTCGTGTGGGACCGGTTCCAGTTGCAAACTCCAACTTCCTGATCAGGAATCAAGAAAAAAACATGACATAACAAACACAAGAATTTTAATCAAACAAATGGTGACAACAGGGGGGCCTCCCCATTAGTGTCCGGCGAGTAGTTCTGGATGAAATTGCAGATGCCCTTGTAAATCAGCGAAGCTTTTGCCTAGGTTTGCAAGACCCAATCACCAGGAAACTTTACCAAATCAAATAGGAGGCATCCTGCTAGTTTGAATGATCACCAATTCCAAGCAAAGTCACCTTATGTCTTTCAAATTGTTACCAACTAGTGCCAATAACTGAATGCACAATGAGATACAGATGCTTTGAACTTCATAGGTGACTGGACATACCGACCACCATCATCAAGTTTCGTCTCAACCAAGACAGAAGCCATGGCCCAGGTTGGCCCACGCAGCTGAGATCCAATCAATGCTGAGCCACAAGGGGCAATGGGATGAGAGGGGCTGAAGTTAAAATACAGTTAATATAATCTTCCCTTTAAGTCAGAATCAATGAAGTACTAAAAAATTTGGCGTTGCCATTTCCCCCCATAAGAAGTGATCAAGATATGTGCAGCTCAAGAACCACATCACCCCAAACCACTGACAGTCCAGAAGGGCGCACCACGCAAGGCTGCAGCCCGCAGCAATCCCATAGGAAGCACCCAGGGTCGTGATGTAACATATGTCTTTCAAACACCTTTAAGCCTGTAAGATTAGCTGAAGTAGTGGGTACGTTTCACCATAGTGCATCAAACCAATTGCGATGCTAGTGAAAAAGTCTTCCAGCACCACTTGAAGAAGTGTTTGGGATGCTATGAGATGGGGAAATTGAATGAAATTGATGGTTTATGACCTCCCTTGCTGGCATCTTGAGCCACCTGTTCCCCAACTGTTCCCCAGACAGGGAAGACCATTCTGGGGCACTTTTGGCTGAAAGTATGATTTCAGAAGCAGTTTGGCCGATCATTGTCTTAGAAGATGATTGGATCCTCAGGGTATATATATAGTCTAACCAAACTAGTGTATTGAAACGTGTGCAAGTTTTAATTTAAATAAAAAAAAGCGGGAGGGGGGGGGATTGGGGGGGAAGGGCGCAGCGCCTCCCCCCCAAAGCAGATTGGAAACACCTATTTTCACATGCAAGGTGCTGGGTTGAATGTGATACTCAAGGTGTATATACTACACGACATGCACCTTGGAAACATGTGGAATGTAGGTTAAGGCACAACGATGCACAATAGTTTCATTTGATGTTATCATCGAGTTGGTTTAAGATCTCTTTATATAAGGTTTGGTTCAGGGTTGGCTTGGGGTTTGAATATCATCCCGATGATAATGCAAACCTTTAGATAGATATAGATAAATATGTATAGATAGATTTAAAGATATATAGATAATAGATATAGATAGATATAGATGGATATAGATAGATATATATAGATATAGATATAGATACAGATATAGATAGATATAGATAGATATAGATAGATATAGATACGTAGATATAGATAGGTATAGATACGTAGCTGGCTTCATTATCTCCTACCCCCAAAGTTCGTACCCCCAGATCAAAATGGAAAACTGATCCTGTAATGATGTAATGACCCAATGTTTTCCAACCTTGTCAAAACTGAGAAGGTTTACTCTGGGAAAGGGATGTTTGTGTAATAAGGCTTATTAATAAAGGTTCCATGAATGAGCCTGTGGGCGCCAGCAAGACTTCAAATGGATCAAACCCAAATGATATGGGGTTCTTCATCACCTGCAAAAGGCATTGCTCTTGGGAAGCCTTAATAAACATCCAGGGGTTGATGTTGGGAAATTCCACCAAACGCGGGCTTGCTAAAGCCCAAAAATACAAAAAATGATGAGCATTGGATTGGGATTGGTAAGGCTTAATAAGGCTTAATACCCTTTACTACAACAGAACAATTGTTTTGAACATCGCGCCAAACGGATTGGTTCTTAATAAGGCTTAATAAGGCTTAATACCCCTTACTCCAAAGTGCACTTACCACAGGTTCTCTTTACTGAATCTGCACATCTCATGGGCATTCACAAAGCTTAAAAACTACTCACGTTAAGCCCGTTAAGCATTGCATATGCATTGCATTTGAAATCCTTTACATCCCTACAACAAAAGGCAGCCTTCAGTCGCTGCACAACTTTCCATCGGTGGTTGCAACATATGTAGGCCTTGCCAAGGGGAAAATAAGGACCAATCCGTTTTGCACTTTTTTCAAAAAACCTGTCCTCTTTTAGCAAGGGTTATTAAGCCTTACCAATGCTTATCCAAGCTTTACAAACATTAATAGTGCTTATTTAGTCAAACATGGTCAACACATATTTGCGCACAAAACCCATGGTTTTCCATTTTGATCTGGGGGTACGAACTTTGGGGGTAGGCAATAATGAAGCCATGAAGATATAGATGGATATAGATATAGATACAGATATAGATAGATATAGATATAGATAGATATAGATAGATATAGATACGTAGATATAGATAGAAATAGATATAGATATAGATAGATATAGATAGATTTAGATAGATATAGATAGATATAGATAGATATAGATTGATATAGATAGAATCAGATAGAGAGATAGTTAGATAGTTAGATAGATAGATAGACAAATAAATAGTTAGATAGATAGATAGATAGACAGATAGATAGTTAGATAGATAGATAGATAGACAGATAGATAGATAGATAGATAGATAGATAGATAGATAGACAGATAGACAAATAGATAGATAGATCGATGGATAGATAGATAGATAGATAGATAGATAGATAGATAGATAGATAAATGCTACTCAACCATAGGAGCGAGGAGCTCTAGGAGCCAGGAGCCATAGAAGCCATAGAAGGCACAGAAGCCGCAAAGCCACCAGGAGCCACCAGGAGCCACAGAAGCCACCAGGAGCCAGGACCAAAAAAAAATAAAAATAAAATAATAAAAATAAAATCCCAAATTAAATTACCCTCCCTTGTAATATCTTATAATGAGTAGAAACATCAGTTGTGTTTACAACTGATGGCTCCTTCAGCGCTATTTCAAATCGGCGAGAAGCTCCCCATGAGGCCGAAATAATCCGACCTGGGGTGACTGGATCTCTACACGGTACAGGTGGTACCCTCTGGTAATTTAACATAGCCATTGAAAATGGTGATTTATAGTTGATTTTCCCATTAAACATGGTGAATTTCCATTGTCATTATGTTAGTTTACCAGAGGGTACACCAATTACATCACACGCCAAACTCCTTCTGTCATGGTCTGAGCCTTTGACAATCTGTTTGGCATCCCCGAAAAAGACCCTGTGGCAGCAAATGGTAAAAAAAGCCCCCCAAAAGAAAAAGAAATGGATAGTCGCAAAGCTCCTGCCTCATCATCGGAATGCCAGCCCACATTTTGCGACTGAACAGGGCTGCAATCAAAAGGACTCATCAGCTGATCTCGCTGTGAGGCTTGATCCAAGCCTCGTCTTCGTACAAGTTCATGTTCACACCTCAGCAATGCGAAACGTTCGACACCAGGCAGGGTATCCAGTGCTCTGATCACTTCGAAGCAAGAGAAACTGAGTACAGTGCTGATACATGCTGATACAATAGTGTGCATGGGTGAAAAAAATCATCATGTCAAAAGCTCAAAATGAATTGAGCGGATATTGTGGAATACTAAACTTACAAAACCCTGTTTTTAACATGAACAAAACATAAAGAATGATCATTTTTTCTGGCCTCAAAACATAACTTTGGCACCCGATGGGACCAAGGAACTGTTGGGCCACTGATCTCTACTGAGGCCACACAGGTCTCCCAAGATCCGGGCCTCGACACAGATATCACGAATTTTATGGGATCTCAGGAGATTTTCGCTGGATTTTATATGACTTTTATGGATTGGTTTATGGATTGGTTTTATATGGAATTTAATGGATTTTATATGGGAAAGCAAACTTTATGGGAAAGTGAAACCGTGAAACCCTGGTTAAGTTTTGGTTGTTTCGACATGTTTCGACCATTTTCTGGGGTTTCAACGGGTCATGTTTCCATAAAAACAATTCCGGGAAGGGTGTTTTTTCCCAGAGCGCAGGCCAATCACAGATCATTTTCATAGGCAGAAGTGGAGACGGGCCATTGGGGTTTGAATGAAAAAAACCGAAGCGGGGTACGTATGGAACATTTTGGCATGGCAGGGAGAAAACCCTATGCATTTTTGGTGACGATTTTCGGTGCTGTTTTTTCGATTATGAAGTGGGAAAAGACTTTCTTTGGATAGTCAAGTCGTTGACAAGCTGTGCGCAGGGTCGTTTATGCCAAATAGGTATATGGTTGATTGACAGTGTCAAATATGCATCTAGCCAAGACTACTGACGATGACAAAAAGGCAGCAGCACCTGTTGATACTTGTTGCCTTGCTGATCCACAAGTCTCACTTCCAATATCTTCCAAACATGTCCAAATAATGATAAGTGGGACTTCCATAATATGTTCCAATCATCGCCATACATCTTCCATACCCATAGAATCCATGTATGACATATATGCTCACATTGGGGGTATATTGATGGTAAATGTTACCATATATAGCAGCACCATGGATCCTATGGGATATGTTCCATACAATTTCCAACGGACTCCCCAAGAATTTTCTAGCTGAGCGCTGGCCTCGACATGGTGGAGCCACTCGGGTTTTTCACGGGCTTGTACCTATGCTGAACGGCATTGCCAATATGGGTCCAAAAATCGGGGATGGGCCGGTCATAAAAAATGGCCAGAAAAACCACAACGGAGAAATCTATGGAAATATATGATGAACAATTGATGAACTATGATGGCATGTTAGTTGTGTTTAAATGGAACATGTGGATTTTCTGAAAACATCAAACAAAACATGTCCTTCCACAGCATTCAGCAAACTTGATTCTTTTTGAGGGGCACAGATGCTTCTCCGTAGGTGTAGCGGCAGCAGCATCCAGGTGACACATACCACGCGGTGCTTCGGGTGACAGCACCAGCCTTGCTCCGCCTCAAAGTCTCAGAGTCGAAATGTCCATCCCCATAGGATCCATGTATGCTATATATGGTAACATTTACCATCAATATACCCCAAATGTTAGCATATATACCATACATGGATCCTATGGGATCTGCGTCAACTTTTTGTCACTGCAACCCCTGAAAGTCTCCCTGAGCTCGGGTCAAAGTCTGCCAATCAGCAAACGCAAGCAGTTCTTGGAATTCCTCGCGATTGAAGCACAAGATACCTGTATCACAACTATACGGAATCCTGATCTATGACATACAGCATGACAGATTTAGGATGATTTAGGTTTCAACGACACTGGCCTCTCGAAGCAAAGCTTCGGAAATAGGCCTGCTTGTTCAATTCGGAGTGAAAGTAGGTGAAAAAGGCAAAGCTCTTCAACTCTTTTGCTGCTTCACAGATCTTCATCTGACTTGCCTGCGCTTCAGAAAGCAAAATGACCTGCGCTCCAAGTCTTCAACAACAGCCTTAGAAAATGTGCCGCACAGGTCTTCTCAAAATTAGAACATTCGCAGGCACCTTCTAGCTCTGCGAGGCTTCTAATTCTAAGGACTGAACTTGCCAGCCATCACAGCAGTCTCTAAGCAGTACCA